TAAAAATGTTTGAAAAATGCATCATGACTAAGTACCTCTTGATCCACTACATTGCTGTTAATATTAAATTAGTATTTCAAATATTTTCACTGATGCTCTCTTTGGAAGTTCAAAGTAAGTATTTAGAATCTGGGAATTTTTTCCTAAGGACAATCACTGTGTTCTGTGTAATCCTACAAGCTCTTTTTCTCATTTTATGCCTTGAATATTCTGATATGACAACCAGACACTTCCACACATAATATGTTAAGTCATTTTCCTCATGTTGAATTAGTTTGCCAAATTGCTTTTTGATCATGATTCTGCAAGAGGGCAGACTCAGCTCCCTGCATGGGTGGAGATATACCTTAACAGCACTTTGTAGTCACCAGTGCCAAGACACATGGAAAGCAAAAGTGAACACACACTTGTAACTCCTTAACGTGAATGATCCGTATGTTGTGTTGTCAGCTTTGTGTCTTCTGGTGCAACAGAGTACCACAGCCTGGGCAACTTATTTTTTTTTAAGTGTAATTTAGTTTACATTTCTGGAGGCTGGAGAGTCCATGGGTGACTATCTGGTGCCTGTGTATTTGGGCTGTGCTCTAACACTGGGAAAAGGTATTACATGACAAGAGGTTGGGTGGAGAGTCAGAACCAAGAGGGAAAAAGTGTTGACTTCCATTCTAGCTCCATGCTAATGAAGGCAGCAAAAGATGGCCCATGTGCTTGGGTATCCGAGATCCATGTGGAAGACCAGAATGAAATTCCTTGCTCCTGGCTTTGCGCTGGCCCAGCCCCAGCAGTTGGAGCCATTTAGAGAGTGAACTAGCAGAAGGCTTTCTCTCGCTCTTTCTCTCTCTCTCTCTCACCCTACTTTTCAAGTAAATCAATTTTTTTAATGTGACCAGTATGGTCTATTGAATTAAGAAATTTTGTGGCAATTGAGAGGAAAATCTTTACTCTTTTCTGCTTTTGGTTAACATAGGAGATAATTAAATTTCTAGTAAATTTCAATGTGAATATTGGTCTTCATATGTTTTGTTTTAAAATTTTTTTCTAATTCTGAGTATTTCTGATACATAAGGTTTTCAAGACTTAATTATGTATGTTGTCTTTTTCAGTAAAAGAATGTATATTTAACCAGTTGAAATAGGGCATTATCAATAGATCCTTGTACCCTAAACTGTTGCACAGAAAAATTCAAGTGCTAAGGGGAGAAGATCAACTTTACTGATTCCAGGATTTGCCTAAACTGGCAGTTATCATTCTAATATATCTCCTTAGAAGTTGACAATTGCTGAAGAACCCTACAGGCAAAGCACACACACGTAAGTAGGTCTGTGTTTTTCTGTAATTAACACTGTGTTACGCATGGCATCACTTGAAATTCACATTGCTCTGATAATCTGTCAAAATGCAGCACAAGGAGCGAGAGTTTGGTGAAGCAGCTGCACTGCCACTTTGGATAACCACAGCTCGTATCAGGGTGCCTAGGTCCCAGGCCCAGTTCAGCTTTTCCCAATATAACATTCAGAGGGACAGCAAGTGATGGCTTAGGTACCCGAGTCCCTGCCATGTGGGAAAACTGGAATGAGTTCTGGGCTCTGGGCTCTGGGCTCTGGCCTAGTCTGGGACCTACTATTGCAAGCACTTGAAGAATAAAGCAGCAGATGGAATCTCTCAGTCTCTCTCTGCCTCTCACACTCCCTCTCTCCCTCCTTATGCCCGCCTGTCCTTTTTCTGGTCTGTTTGCCTTTCAAATAAAATAAAACAATAAATAATGAAAATTCAGTGTAACTTAGAATCAAGCAATATTGAATACACATAGGGCACTATTAGTCATGAAAGATGATCCATTAGCATAAGCTATTATCATCCCACCTAATGGCAAAATACCTAGTTTCAAAAATATTTTGTAATTGATCTTTTATGTCAACAACAAGAAAAACCCAAACTAATCTCGAGGCTGTGTGCCAACAGAAACACACATCAAAATGTACAGTGACTATTCTTCCTCCATTTGTTTCCTTAGCAAATAGAATTTGATTGCTGAGTTCTTCATGGAACGATGAGTCTTTTGTATTTTATTTCTATCTGTAGACACTGAGATCTGTCCCTCCGCCGTGGAGATGTTGTCTTATATGAGAGTCGTATTTCAGCAAACATAATTAAACCATCACAAACACAGCCTGGCATCAGTCAGACCAGAGTTCCGGCTGCCGTGCTGTGGTTGCATATGAAAGTATTTCACATTCTGCTGGGGGGAAACGCCACTAAATATTTCATGGTTTGGGGGGGAGTTGCTCATATTGTTTATTTCTCAATATTTTAAAGGTATACTTCATTTTTCTCGACAGCTATTTTTGTCTTCACGTTAAAGAAATAGATATTAAGGACAAAATCTGCATGGGGTGCCAAGAGCTGGTATTTTCCTGGAATGATGCTTACTGTGTGCATAAAAATAAATCTCATACTGTTCTCCAGAAAATGTCCTTGGCATTTGATGTGTTTTCCAACGCTACATTCTGCTAATGTTCTGCGTCTGAGGGTTTGGGGCGGCGGTGAGGCAGGGGGCGGGGCCAGAATCCTAATTTGATTGGTGTGGTTTAATATATATTTGGATTTTATGCAGACACAAAAAGAAGACACTAGAGGGTGCTGTTTGATTTTCTTTCTCACAGGGCTGCGTTGCAGATGTCAGCGCACTGGGGCACTGAAAAATGCCATCGTGTTCGATCAAATTACGTGAGGTACAGACGTGCCCTGGGTCTGAAGGGAGACAGATGAGCGAGTGAGCTGGAAGGTTCACAATGGGATGGAGGCCTAATTAATTCAGAATTAATGAAGAAGTAATTCTTTATTACCCTAACCTTGCATGATCGTCATCTTTTGATAATTACTTAATTCTTTTGGTTCAAAGAAACTTTATTAGATTTCAAGCTTTCACCAAATGTCAAATGGTTCCAAAAATAGCTAGAATATTAGACAATGTTAAACAATTAGTGCTCTCAAGTTTTGCCATTAGGATTTTAAGTAGCATGCATACCTATTAGTGGTTAGAAACTAATTATAGAATTCCCCATTGTCAGAAATGCCAGATCCCAAGATGTTGTTTCTTTTCATATCAAATATCAAGTCAACAAGATTCCCAATTAACTTCCCTCTTAACCTTTGCTAAATTTGTGCGTTTTTGTCTTCTCCTCCTTGAGGCAAATCTCTTTGAACACAGGGAAAAAAGCAATATTCTGGAGTTTTCTTTCTGTATACTATCATTGGGCTTACACGTGTCTGGTTTCATTTTCTAACATAAGAACAGTTGGGGAAAGAAGCCTTTAGTGTTCTCATTTTACAGAGGAGTAAAGGAAGGTATTGAGGTGTTGGATAATCTGTGTGCCAAACAGAGAGTTAACAGAGCGGGTAGAATCACGTCCGAGCTCTTATGGCTCCCAGGAAGTCCACGAAGGCACCTGCCGCGCATCAGTTCTGTGGACATGTCTGTGTTCAATCCAGAGAGCTGTGGTGCTGAGGTACCGTGAGAGTCATCGCCACAGACTGGCACAGCACCTCCCTGCCAGGCACCTGCCAGGCTCTGAAAGTTGCACCTGTGTGGCTGCTGTTGGCCAAGGAAACAGAATCAGCAGCGCTAAGGGTCACTTCTGAACAAAAGCGTGAAGGAGCTGGGCTCTCCAGGCTCCCCTCCCTCGACATGGTGAACATGAAAGTGACACAAGGAGCGGGCAGCGTCACCCCTGCCCAGCCCTCGTGCCAGACTCACAACTGTGAGCAAAGTCCAGTCGCAGCATCAGAAGATGGCAGCCCCTCCCCTCCGCAACCCCCATGCCAGGCTCACAACTGTGAGTGGAGTCTGCGCCTGGAGCTTTCCCATTGCAGCACCACAACCACGCCTGTCCTCGTAATAGACAAGTGAGGGAAGTAGACCAAATGAGCAGATAGCCTACAACAGAGGCATGGCAAGGACGGATCTCATTAAAAAGTGAGAAATCTATAGGTTTTACCTTTGTCATTTCTGAGACAATCACTGGAGAAGTTATGAAATATGTTCTATGTCATTTCCTCATTGTATATTTTTTGTGTAAAATTCATCTAAGGAATTCCAATAAGACAGGGGGTGTGATGTGACTGTGTACACCTCACCATCAACCTGTGTTTCAACAGTGCCTTCAAACCTATGCCTTCAACAGTGAGAATGGCAAAATGCTGTAACTCATTCAAGCCTTCAGATTTTAGCATGCAAGGTGGTCGGGAGTTTCATGGAAAAAAAAAAACATGTGCCTATGCAAAGGGGAGGGAAAAAGTATTGTGTCTCAGCTGGAATAGATGTTTGACTCCTTCATTCATCTCAATGCTAAGCATTTCCCAAAATAACTCAAGAAGGCCAAGCAGAAATGAATGCATATTTTTCTCCATCAGTATCAGTTGTCCTCTTTACAGCATAGCCCGTGTCACTGCCCACCAAGCCTCCTGGGGCGGGGAGAACAGGGAAATCAGGACAGACTCAGCTTATACCCTAGGGCTTTGGCCAAGCCATGGTGCGATGCCATGCCTTCCACAGGACAGACGACAGCCATGGCACTTCCATCCATACGCGACAGGACTCAGCATTGGTGCTCTGCTCTTTGGAGTTCCCAAAAGAAAAAGAAAAACATTGTCTGCTTCCATGCAAGACAACTTCAACATAAATGCCAAGTCGTTTGCACTTTGTTTTTTTAACTTTAAAGAAGAGAGGCACTCTGGGGATATATTTAGCAGGCCTTCGATTTTGTGGTTAATTATGGTAAATGTGTGTTTATGAGCCACTTGTAAAAGAGGGCACTCCCTGCTTCTTCTTTGTTAAGTACACACAGAGGACCCAACACCATGCACTGAAGCTCTAGCCAGCAGTGCCTACCTGGTCCAGTGGCTGCTGCTTGTTCTTTTGTATGTTTTTGTTTGTTTGTTTGTTTCTTGCACTTTGTTAGTATGCAAAGTTTAAGGTCACTAAACCAGCCACTGAGTCATGACAATACTTGAACACAAAGTTTATTTAAAGATAAAACACATTAAAAATTATTTGGTTGATTTGTAAAAAGAGGACAGGTGGGGTTTGTAAGGGGGTAGACTGGCCTGCAAACAATGGCCAAAGCTGGCATGGCAAGGTTGGAGGGCGCAGTGGGTGGGAAGGAGCTCATCACGAACCGCGGAGAGCAGCTCACGCACAGCACAGCGCAACACTGCCGAGCAGCAGCGAGAGCCCCAGAGGGAGTCCGATCTTCCAATCACCATTTCCAAGTTGCTCCAACAAGCCCTGTCTGTAAAAGCTTTGATCCCCAAATGGCACTGGCTCAACACAGATTTTTCTGCTCAGATTTCTCATCTGTCTGTCTGACTAGATTTTTTTTTTCTTTTAATGATTTTTCATATGAACCAAAGTTTCTAAGTGATGACTATTTGAATTTTCAGCAAGTAACATGCTTTTCACAACTGGCTCTTTAAAAGCCCTGTTGTATACCTTGGGAGAGGAGCTGTGAATTTCACTCATTTTCAAACTGTTGGCTGTTGGGAACAAGTGGCATCCCTTTCAGATGCTGGACACTTTCAAATCGGTTTTGACTTAGGGGTACACACGTTTTATCCTACAGAGGGTTGAAGTAAGTAAATTACAGTACTTTATATAGCAACCTTGAGTTAATTATGAGGTCGTGCCTGATTTGTAGACAAAGTGCCATAATGAAATTTGGGTCACGATGAGAAGGAGTGTCCAAACTGGAAGTTCTGCTGAGGAATTGGAAGCTGTGAACAGAAAAGAAGTAAGCTTCATGAGGAACAAAGAAAATGCCTGTCTGATGGCGTCAGACATCTTTGTGGAACTCAGCTAAACAAGGGACATTTTCCTGTCCAGAAGCCATTTTATCCACATGGCCCTGTCTAAGGAAGCAAAGGGGATGAATTAACCCTCTCTTGAGGAGAGTCCTGTCAATATCACAGTGCCAAGGAGATCCTGCGTCAAGACTATGCTCCTGTCTACTGGTGCCAGCACCCCATTCCCAACCTCAGCCCAATTAGCCTAGCTAGCCAGACTTAATGGTCCTTAATGGTCCTTCAGTGGTGGGATACCTTATTATTTTAAGCAACTTTCATTTGTCAAATGAAAGAGCAGAGACTTAAAGGTTTGAAAATGGTGCTAGAATTCCTACGGCATTTCCCCCTCATCTTTTTCTCTTCACTTCTGGAACTTTCACTGGTGAGTTGCTGATTGGGCTTAAATATGAATTTTTCCTTTATCATGACAGGCATTTTTTGTGTCCCCTAGGTGCCTGCCCAGGAAACAGAGGACCAGCTACCTCTGCAGCTCCTGCCATCTTCCTGCAGCGTTCCCGTCACACAGCTACACAAGGGTCCGTCCACACGGCTCGTGCAGATCTGTTCGCAGCCCCCGTTGTCCTCACACCAGTCCAGCCCTAAGAAAGAACAGTTGAGCACATGAGGGACACACAGTTCCGCCTAGTCACCTTGCATCTAGGGCCAAGGTTTAAAAAGAAGATGAGGAAAAGCCAATAGCAGGGAAATTTTGTAAGACCATAAAAAATATTTTCTTAAAGAGGTGAGGCATCTTGCACACCGCTGTCCCCAGCACCAGCCTCTTCTTCACTAAGACTCACGGCACAGTTGAAAGACGTCCAAGTCTTCACAGCCCATTGTTTTAATATTTATAGTGGGTCTTAGGGAACATACATACTTTTTCTCCTAATAGGTCCCACTGAAATGATCTGTTCCTTGGGTTCTTTTGTATAATCTGTGGCAATCCTGGAATTTTGTGGGCAATTCTGAAAGACAGAACACCAGAGGGGAAATTTCACACAATTAAACTGATAACTTATTCCTCACCATGTCTCCACCCCCAGAGAGGCAGTGGCTTCGGCCTGGAGCACTGTGGCTGCTCCGATTAATTAGAACCAATGCATTCTTGATCATTGAGCCCACTGGGACTGCAGGCTTTCTATTGAGCAGAATTAAATATACTCTGCACACTAGAATGAGATTCAAAGGGCCTCCGTGCATGGGAACGAGGATTGTTGTATCTCTTCAGAAGCTAATATATGCAGCATCGTCTGTAAGTAGCTCTGACCATAATTCATATCTTGATTTTGCAAACAAAGGCTGAGCATACCTCTGGAATGCTGAAGGGAAGGGAAGAAGTTCCAGGGCAATCCTGTCACATGGTAGGGATGTGATCTTGGTATAGAAGAGATGATGGGCTTGCCATCCCATCCTTCTTTTCCCTCAGAGGCAGAGCAAGTGATTCTGATCTGTAGGACCCCTGCATAAAATCTACCCCATGCCCAGGCATTGCCTTCAGTATTGGAGTCCAGCTCAAGCCAGTGGTCATCAACTTCAGGTCACCTGACTCAATATGCTCCCTGCCTGGTTCTCAGGTCAATTTCCCCTGTCCCTAGGGAACATTGGGCAGTGCCTGGAGACATGTTAGCTGCTATAACTAGCATGTGGAAGCTGCATGCACTTAGTAAAGGCCAGAGATGCTGCTAACGCCCGGCAGTGCACACAACAGCTCCTCATGCCAAAGAATTACTTGATTCAAAGTCACAAAGGTTTGAGAAGCCCTGGTCTGGGGATACTTCAGTGACCAGCTGGCATTTCAAAGACAGAGGAGCCAACAGACATCACTCCACCGTGTGTACTGTACATCTCACCAAAGATGGCAAAGCGTCCATCCTGAGCAACCGTGGGTGACTCCAGTTCTGTCACCTGGCATGCAGGACCCATAGAACAAGGCTGAGTGCTTAATTCCCACACTCTCACTTACGATTTTACAGGAGTACTTTTCTGAGTCACAGAGCGACACCGCACAGTGCAGATGGACCTCATCGTAATCCCCAATGAACTTGAAGACAGTGACATGAAAGCGACAGGTTAGGGAGACTCCATTCTCCTCGATGCCAATGGTGTTATCTTTAATGTTCTGACACCTAGTTGGGGGAGAAAAATGGGATCTTGGCTTCAAATCCTCATCTTCATTTCACAAGTTTACCGTTCACCTCAAACAGTCCCAAATGCCGAAAAAGCTTTTGCATTTAAAAGTGACCCCTGGGCTGCACAGGCATGTCTGTCATGATCACTGCTGTGTAACTTCACAGTTTGCTTTGAAACACTAAATATCACTTTGAATTAGTAGTATCCCAACTGCAACTAAACATTAAATGACTTGAGGGAGCACACTCAATTTCTCCACACTTCCGTTTCTCATTCCACCCCTCATAATGCTGTGTTTCACTGATAACAATTTAACCAACGCAAGATTAGTTCTTACTTCTCATGTACTTTCTTGAGTTAATTATCAGTGTTGGCAGGAGCCCCTGATTCAAACTCTACTGGGAAATCTTCTCAAGCGTTAAAATAGGTAGTGGCTGTAGGGGAATGAAGAGCAGTTAAGGAGGCAGTTCAAATGTTCACTGAGGAAGGTGACCACCACTTGAGAAAAACGCTCTTCCTTCTTGTGTTTTTGACCCAACTCATTGCCAAGACATCCCTCAGGCAAAGATATCTTGTGCCAGCTACTGGGCCCAGCGGCATGACCTAGCAGCTAAAGTCCTCGCCTTGAAAGTGCTGGGATCCCATATGGGTGCCAGTTCTAATCCCGGCAGCCCCACTTCCCATCCAGCTCCCTGCTTGTGGCCTGGGAAAGCAGTAGAGGACAGCCCAAAGCCTTGGGATTCTGCACCCATGTGGGAGACCTGGAAGAAGTTCCTGGATCCTGGCTTCGGATCGGCATAGCATCGGCTGTTGCGGTCACTTGGAGAGTGAATCATCGGATGGAGGATCTTTCTCTCCTCCTCTCTGTATATCTGACTTTGCAATAAAAATAAATAAATCTTTAAAAACCAAAACAAAACAAGAAAAGAGTCCCTCATCACCTTCTCCACACTCCAGCGTCTTTTTATGTGAAGCTCCTCCCATCCAGCAGGTGTTTCTGCTCCTCTTCCCCATGCATTACTGCTGCTCTTTCTTCATCCGAGTCACGTATCTTTTCTAAAGATCCCTGCCAGTGCTCTCACAAGGCAGGGACAGGTGCCCTTTCCTGGGTTTGCCCACAGCACCTTGTTGAGCTGCTCAGCACAGGAACCAAATCCTAATCCTTACCACAGCACCAACACATCACACAGACTGCAGCAGGTGTTTGAAAATCTTGGAAGCCAAGAAGTGCTTTCCAATGGTAAGGATAAGAGCAGTGAATTTTTCCTCCTATGTCTCTTTTCCCTAGCCCAAGGATTAAACAGCTTAACAAAAAGGAAAATTAAAACTTGAAGTCATCCTTCAGCATTCCCACACCTATTAAGTTTTGCAATTAGTCTTGTAGGCAAAATGTGACTTGTAGGCAATTGTCCCTTAAATGCTTTCAAACGAAAACATGCATGCTGTGCTTTGCTTCATTGTTATTATCCATTTGGATAATCTAAATTGGTTCAAGGATTCTAAAGTGGAATCAGCCCCAGCCTTTGCAAATACTTTCCCTCTTAACCATCATCTCTACCAGGGACATAACCTGAGGTTTAGGGGATAAGAAGAACATGGAGCCAAAGCAGGCAGACCTGGGGAGCAGCCCTAGTTGCCTGGGCACATTCACAGAACAAGTAAGACAAGCACAAGCATCGTCTACCCAGGGCCAAAGGGACACTTGTCCTCTCCTGTGTCAGAGCACACAAAAGCAAAAGAGAAGGGTTCCTCAGGGCTGCCACCAAATGCTGGTGACAGGAGAAACTGACCCCTCAAAAAAGACTGAGGTGGACTCCCCTTTCTATTCATTTATTCAGCAGTGAACATGGGTTTTCCCTTACATCCATTGGAACAAAGCAACCACCCATTTGCCAAGGAAAAAACGAGGACAGATGGGGTCAAATTAGCCTACATTATGAAGTCACCTCTCATCCAACAACAGGGCAACTTGAAGATCTTTATTCAGACAGACACTAGGATGAGCTGAGATTTATGATCATGCTGGCTTATTCTCCCTCTCTGGGTCAAGTCTGTCAAATGTTATTTTATTTTTATTTACTTGAGAGTTAGGGTGGCAGGGGAAAGAAAAAGAGGCTGGGTGACTTTCATCTGTTGGTCCACCTCCCAAAATGTCTGCAATGACCGGAGACAGAAGAAACTTGGAGCTCCATCTTGCTCTCCCTGTGAGTGGCAAAAATCCAACTGTTGGAGATATCTTTGCTGCCTCTCAGGGTTTGCCAGCAGAAAGCTAGAGTCAGGAGCTACAGTGAGGTATCCAATCCAAATAGTCTAATGTGAAACACAGCCACCTTAATTACTAGACTAAATGTCCTTCCTCCTAAAACTATTCTTAAATGTTAACCACCTGCTCATCATTTGAAAAACACCCAAGCCTTATCATTTGGGTTTGCATTAGTAATGTGGCTTCTATCTAGCACATTTATGCTGGGAAAATGTGACGAGGGAATGAAGGAACATAGAGAAGAACTGTAATGTCTACCCAAGCAGCAACATCTCCCAGTTACCAGGTAGTCATCAATTCCTTCCCTTCATTTCTGAAGGTTAAATTTAATTCAGAAAGACAAATCCCTTAATAAAGTCTTGGCTGAAAATTCCACAACATACCTTAGCAATGCATGTTACATGCCAGGCCTGATCAGTGAATGGGGCCGCATGTCCTACTCTTTCCCTGACAAATTAAGTGGCTTTGGTTAGCCCTGTCCCTTACCTCTCAAAAGCTGTTTCATCTGCCACATAGCAGCTGTTCCTTATTTGCCCAGAAAAACAACCTTTTCCTCTTGGGGAACTATTCCTCTCCCATCTTGCAATCATAAAGCTAACTGCACCATTCACGGTACCATGCGTTATTATACAAGTTGATACTGACCCCAGACATCCCCGGCCCACAACGAAGGCTAGCCCAATGAGCCCATACAGGCTACTTATGGTCCTTTCTTGAGATTACTCACATTGGATAGAGAACAAATTATTTTCTCCTCAGTTGTGACAATGCAAGAATGTGAGTCTAGGACTGCCAAGGACTAACAAGGCCAATGAGAGATACAAAAAGAGGCAGAGACAGAGACAACAGGAGGGGCTTTGGACAGCCTCTTGATCTCCACATCCAATCATCCTTGAAGCCGCGTCCATGATTCAGTTTTGTAAATGCTTTTTTTTTTGTATAAGTGAGTTTGAATTGGTCTCTGCTGTTTACAATAGAAAGAATTTTGATTAATATAGTCACCTGCTTGAAGAATTATTTATATTGGAATGATGAAAATGCTCTAAAATTAGATTATAGTGATGTGTGTATGCCTCTGCAGATTTATCTTAAAAAATCATAGAATTTTACACTCAAAGCAAGAAAATTTCATTGTATATAAAGTCTGCATGCAATAAAGCTGTTAAAAATGAATTATTGTAAAATCGATTATAATACCTGTAAACTGCCTGACATAACCAGGAAGTGCTTTTTTTAAAAAAAAAAAGATAGTCATTCTTTTGATTGCTTCATCTATAAACTTTTCTTGCCATTCACTCACCACATCAATTTTATTCTGCAATCACTCTGTCTTAGAAAGTACATTGTGTGATGGGCCTACAGCAATGAGGAAAAGAAAACTTGCTGATTTTATAGGGCATTATTACAGTGTCCCCTTATCTATGATTCTGCCTGCCCAGTTATAGATAACTATGGTCAAACACAGTCTGAAAATAATCAATGGAAAATTACAGAATAGTTGCCACATTCTGAATTATGCCATGTGTAGCATGATGAAAACCTGTGTTATCCCCATCCACCCTGCCCAGGATGTGACATCTCCCATCCATCACTCAGTAGTGTGTCGGTCATCAGATAGACTGTCACAGTACTGAAGCGCTGATGTTTAAGGATCCTTGTGTAGTGGCCTGACGTTACATCACAGTGCAAATGTCGTAATCTCACTTCATTTCACCACTCAGGCATTGTGTCATCTTCCATTGTCACAAGGAGGATTATATTATAATAAGGTCTTTAGAGAGAGTAAAACCACATTTATACACCTTTAATTACAGAACATCATTATGATTGTTCTATTTATGAAAGGCTCAGCTGGGACAGTCCACCCATACACAGGGATCTCCACCCACTTCTGCTAAAAACAAAACCATATAGAAATAAACAGCTTGATTTTCACACCTACTCATGGTATGATTAATTATTATTACTCGTTTCTTACTACAACAGATTTACACATTGACCTTTATTATTGAAATGCATATAGGTACAGGAATGTGTGTGTGTGTGTGTTCAAACTATATACCATTCATGGTTCAGACATCAACTTGAGGGTATTGGATGCAATCCCTATAAATAAGGGGAAACTACTGTCTTCCAATTTCTCTTTCATTTTGAAACTCCCTATTTGTTCATTGTTACTACATCTTTCATTTGCAAAATTCAACATTCCTCTCAAATGAAAGTTCAAAGTGGACAGGACAGAATCTCTTTGATCACATCTAGAAATAACGCATCCTGTAGTTAAGTCACACAGACTGGGGTACCTGAGAAAGTGGCTTGTATGACTTCAAATGAGTTGCTTGATAATCTCTGTCATGCGAGGTTCATAATATGTACCTCATAGATTGTTATGAAAAGCAGATGAATTTACAAACATAAAGCACTTATCCAGTTGATACATATGGTCCTATCCCCTTCCCTGTCCAAACACAAGGGTGCAGATAAGACAGCCATTTGTCAAGAAGCTACTCACCCTCCTTCAATGATGAAGTACCGGAGCTTATCGTTGCTGTCACGGGAGGGGGTGGCATAGCATTTGTTGAGCGTGAGGATTAAATGTGTGGAGTCAGCTCCAACCACAAAGACCCCTACATACAGCACATCTCTAGTGGTCAACACTACCTCACCCTGGCGGTAAGGATGTTTGTAAGAGGCATTTTTGTAGAGCGCCATCTTGGTGGTGAAGCTACCTTCTTGGGTTGGAACTGTCAGGTTAATGACACTAAAAGGGAAAACAATCATAGGACATAGAATGTCAGACAGCTGTATTAGTTCAGGAGCCTACCACTTTCATGCAGAGGGAGGACAAAGCAAGTGGCAGTAAAGTCTAAGGCCTTGCTAGCCAATCTGGTACTCGTGAGCCATATGCACCAATTCAAATTGAAACAAATACAATTAAAAGCTCAGTTCCTTCTCCATGCCTCCAAGCCACAAGTCACTTTTCATGTGCTCAGTGGTCCCATATTGCTATATATTGGATCTTCTAGATTTGGAGCATTCTATAAGTTCTATTGCACAGTGCTGGTGCAAAGCATTTAGATCCAAGAATTAAGAATTGTATCTCCCTCAGTGCATCACAGACAAGTGCTGGCAGTTTCGATTATGCTAACCTTAACTGACAAAAGACAAAGCAGTGTGCATACCCAATGAGATCTCTTACCTTAGCATAGGCTTCACAACAGAATCCAAGGAGATCTTGATATCTAGTTCATAAGCACACGAAAACTCCACATTGATTGTGCGGTCCCTGGTGATGATGTTGCCAGTATTGTTGGCACTTTCAATCCAGATTGTGTTTTTATACATGATATGAGTGCCGTTGGACTGCAGAGTAAGGGGAGGGTGGTCAGAAATCATTATACCTGGGAGTGAGCTGGTGGCTTACGTTTCAAATCCATATCTCTGAAAGGGAGCAAATGGCTTCATTCCATTTGTAACCTGGAGGCCTGTGTATATCAGTGTGCAGCTAGCCTCAACGTTTTACTGGGGGAGGAAAGCACTGCAATCGATGTCAACAGCACCCTCCAGTCTGATAATGTTGACTTCTAACTATGACTAGCTTCCAGTTATTTATATGCACATGCGCTGCAGACAGCACGGAGTACTGCCGTTGTGAGCTAATGCACATCTTCTTTTTCAACCCTTAAGTTGAGAAAGTTGATATCTCCCTTGTACCACATCTTTTACTAGACACTTAGAACTGCCAAGTGCAAATTTTACCTCCTTTTAAAAACATTAAAGAACAGAGTCTCAAATAAAAGACACACAGCAAGAAGAAACAAGAATCAAGATAAGAAGCAAGGTGCACCGCTAACCTAAGTAGCTCAAAGTTGGAACTTGGTGACTTATTGATCATCAACCGTTAAATGATATTTGGAACATCTCAACCCCCCGACCCTCGCATTCACTGAGCCTAGGTGTATTCAGCTGGAAAAACAATGGAAGCTTAAAAGAAGCGACAACAGTTACGTGATCATGTGGGGACAAAGGACAATAGCAAGCATGGAATCAAACCTGTCATAACAGTTTCAGTTCAATGAATCACTGAGCACCAAATGATGCTGTCTTTGTTGTCTTTCATTTTGATAACGACCTTGGCTATTCTCCATGGAGCCTATTTCTAAACAAAACACTCTAAAGTTAGTCTTAAACAAGTAAATGTCAGACTGTGTTGTGGAGGAGCAGATAAAGGTGCTGCCTGGAATGCCAAAATCCCACGGAGTTCTGCTTTGAGTCCTGGCTGCTCCACTTCCAATCCAGCTGCCTGCTAATGCACCTGGGAAAAGCAGTGGAAGACAGCCCAGGTGCTTAGATCTCTGCATCCATGTGAGAGACTAGAAAGAAGCTCCAGGCTCCTGGCTTTGGTCTGGGCCCAGCCCCAAGAGTTGTTGCCATTTGGGGAGTGAATCAGCAGATGGAAGATCTCTTTTTTTCTCTCCCTGTCTGTCTAATATTTGTCTCTCCCTCTATGCAACTCGGATGTTCAAATAGATCATTTTTGAAAAAGGGACTACATGTGCAAACTCTAGGAGCTGTCATGATCTTTGTCAATTACCCCAGCCTGCTCAACTTCCTCACCTGCACAATGTTTCCACAATTCCCTTTGGTGTTGTTGATCTGAAAGGAGATAAAATCTTCACCCTCAATGCCGGTGCACTGCCTGTCATTGATCCTCACACCCTCCCTCTCAAAGCCAAGCTGGAAGAGTTTGCACTTGGATATGGACACTTCCATCTGGGCCGCCTTGCAGGTCACCTCTGCGTCAATGATGTCGTGTGAGTCTGCAGAAACAGTCATAACAAAGACACAACTTTAGGAGTCAGCCCTGCTGTCGGGGCCGGGGGATGGGGAGCAAGGCCTCCCGTTACCATTCTCTGCCACAAGAGCCAAATGATCTCCACTTAGAGGCTGCAGCATTTCTAATTAAGCTTTGATCAGACCAAATGAGTCTATGAATTCCTTCAGAGCAATAACTTGGACATAGGTAGAGCTTTGATCAGACCAAATGAGTATATGAATTCATTCAGAGCAATAACTTGGGCTATGGTAAGGGCAGTGCTAATAAGATTGCCTTTTGCCTTTTCTTTATAAATCCAGGCCTCCCCACTCTACCCTCGCACACTTTTGGCAGCTAATTTTTTTTGTAAGTGCGGCTTGCTGTGGCCTGGATAAAGGTCATGTGCTGCAGGAGAAGTAGCACTGGTCTGGTCACCCTCAGCACTACCCCCTTTGCAGAAGCCCTCACAAGTCCCAGGTGAGCACCAGAGCTTGCTTACTGACATGGTGATGAACCAATTGATATTTTCTCTGCGTATATAAACACTGGGTAATAAGCACTGTGGGAACACAGAGAAACATTTTTTTATCTGCTTAGCTGAAGCCCTGGAACAGCAATGTTGTCACCTCCCATGGAGTCTGTTAGTCAATTAGGTTTTCGTCCTCAGAGTGTGTTAAATTAGCCCGAGTTTCGAAGCTACTTGGCTAAGGAAAAGGCCCCGAGGGGCTAGAAAGGCAGCAGCCCCCCTCCAAGCGACATCCAGGTGGGTTCCACTGAGGACAAGGCCAGGGCTATCTTAAGCTACAGTTAGGAAGGAGACCCAGAGCCCTTGTTAGGAACCGCTTCTTCACGCATTCCAGTTGCATCAAGACCAAATGGCTTTGGGTCAGATACAGCAGGTTTCAAACCAGCATTTCAGCACCTGGCCATCTCGTCCTAATTCTCTTACATGTTGTCACAGAAGAACCATTCTCTCCACTGAGTCTAAAATATCAACTTGGAGCTTTCTGATGTTGAACTCACCCCCATATGGAACAGGCTGGCTCCATTCAGGTACAAATTTGCACCTATGATTTATTAAGGAAAAGAATGTAGCTTTGAGGAAATGAACATTATATAAAAGAGAGGGAAGTCCAGTTGTTGCCTTGTTCTGCTAAATGTTTCCTGTAAACTTGGGATTCAAACCTACAGAATGGGATGTATCAGGTTTCTCCGTAGAGTTTTCCTGCACGACTGCCAAGCCTTCCCCACTGAGGCTGTCTGGGTGGGAGATGGCCCTTGTCACTCACTGTTTCCATAGGGCGGTGGTTCAATGCAGCCACACAGCTCCCCTCCATTGTCCAGCTCACAGGTTCGGTTGGGACAGTCTGCCCCCACACAGGGATCTTCAACCACTCCTGCTAAAAAGGAAAACACACGGAAACAGACACAACTTGATTTTCACACCTACACACAGTAGCATTCGGTTATGCTCTGGACTCGCCACTTTAATCCAATTAGACATGGTCAAATGAAAGCTGCAAGACAGCAGACAGGGCAGCCTTCCAGAAAACAATGGCAAGAGGTGGTTAATGGAGGGCTTGATTCACGCCTGGCCCTGTGCTTCATGCTTTAGCCAAATTGGCTTCTTTGACCCTTACAGATACTCCTCAAATTAAATACCCATAAGCCCTATTTCACAGCTGAAATTTGCCCAAGGTCACAAGTGAAGATAGGTGGTAAAGATAGAACACAGACACTTATCTGCCAAGATATGCCATAATCACTGTACCCACCACACTGCATTGCAATTACTTGCATTTTTAGTTGTATAAAAAGGATGATTCAAGCTGTGCGTGTGTTTACCATACACACAATGTGGTTTTCACATGTTTGCATGATAACATCTGGCTCCACCCTGCCACTATCATCAAACTGAACATCATAGTTGGAGTTCCATAAATATTTTCCAACAATGAAAAATTTAGAGCCAGTAATATCCCTGAGAGATCCCTCACCAAGATTTCGTGGTCTGTTTTGATTCATAGCCCACCTTTCCCATAAGCTCTTGTTTAATTTTATAAAACTCAGACAAAACCAAAAACCTCCATGCAACTCCATCAACACTAACTTAGATTAATAGCACTGTTTTGTCAAAAGGGAAAAACTGTAAGTATGATATTGACGCAGGTAACATATTCCTACTGTATTATTATGAACAATATTCATGTAATGGATGACTCTCCCCGCAACATGTTCAGCGCCTCGGCTTGAGAGCCCCTAATGGAGAGTTTTTTCTTCTAGGGACTCTATTTACAGAATCTTTCTACCAAATAGAATAACCCTGCCATACATCACGGCAGAGGATGATGATTAGCGCTGCAGAAACAACTTTCATTCCCAGCATGAACCAAGCAGACATCCTGAGTTTTTGTAAGAGAATTTTAAAAGGACGCAACATGTCTACTAGACAGGAGGAATTCGTTCATAAGATCAATGATACGCCACCAAGATTGACTACAGGTCAACATATCACACACTTGAACATGAGAGTACATTGTAACTATTCTCACCACATAAAAAGACACACAACAAAATAAATAAACGCAACAAAACAAAAACCCCATACTGTCCCACAGCTGCACACAGCACGCTTGAGTCAGGGCGTCCCAGGTGGGAGTACATGGATGGCCTCACATCATTTTGTGTTCATTTCTGGAAAGATAACTGGAGGAAAGACTTCAACATCAGAGAAAGACATTTATTCCTTACTGCTTCCCTCTAGAAAGACCCTTTCACTTGCTCTGGGTGCTTGTGGTGCGAGGCACCCAGCAGCCACTCAGTGAGTGCCCTGGCTAATGAACACAGCATAGAAATGACCAAAGAGTCCCACAGAAAGAACAAGTGGAGATTGCAGCCCACAGGAAAGAAGAAAACTCAGGTGCAGATGAGGTGGGCTGTCTGCCAGCTGGCAAGTAAGATATGGTCTTGGGCTGAGAAGCTTACAGATTCAAAAAAAAATGTAGAGCAGACAATTTTTCAAGTTACTTAAAAGATCGCTTAACATACTAAAATGCAAAAACTACCAAACAAAACATTTCCTACAGACCAGTAATTTGTTTATTTCTGAAATCACTTAATATATGCTTTTATTAACTACCTAATTTTTAGGTCCTAAATTAAGTGAATTCCTACAGATGAAAAGGAATAGTCTGCAAATTATCCATGTGTTTATTTAGTCTTGGCATGGGCCATTTTCTTAGCGGTACCTGTGCATACCCCAGGTTTGTGTTGGGAGTCAGTTTACAAACACACATTCTGTGGGTCACAGACTCAGGGTGCATTAATGAGAGTGACCATTATGGACATGGACACACATATTTATATGTTTATATGCACTTATGTTTGTGCATCTATATGATTAACCTGGTGAGAAAAAGAACCCATTGCACAATGGAAATAAACTTGTCCCTCTGCAATTGTGCACATGAAGGTTCAACCAATCCTGGGTTGAAAATATTTGGGAGAAAGTAGTGTCTGTACTAAACCAGTGCCAACAGTTCCGCTACCAGTTCCTACACAACACCGCTGTTAACTGTTAACATGGCATTCATGGTAGCTGTTAGAAGTAATGTAGAGATCACAAAGTACAGGAGATGATCTGCATTGGCTCTATGCAGATAACGGATCATTGCCTTGAGCAATGGCAGATTTGGCAAAAGATACTTGATTCAAGTCTTTATGAATATCAAGAGTCAACTGCACGCATCAGAATGATTTTCCTATTACAGAAAAAAATAAATACAAGAATTTTTAGTATGCAAACTTGTGAAACACAAAAGTACCCCCCAACTCTCATAAGAATATATTACTATTACTGTTTGTACCAATACTTCTGAAATCCATGCAGTCTTCTCAGATGAACTTTTCATAAACTTTTTGAAGACCCCCTCATTTGCATGGGCTTCAGATTATTTTGTACCAAAGTAAACATATCTCTTAATTTCACCTTCCTCAAACGTTTATAAGTTTTCTCAGATATGGGGTTCACCTATGCAGCCAGCTGTACTTTTCTTCACAATGCTGGCAGATTCAGCCAGCTCAGTTTTTACTTAACTCACCTCTTGCCATAGACCTTCCTGGTCACACACATTAAAGGGGAATGAGAGAGCTAAAATCCATTAATTAAAATCCATTTGAAGTCCCCTCAGATGATGTCGCTCTACTTCACAAGGCCCCGGCTGGTACTCCTCTAACCTCAAGGACCTCAGCTCCCCAAGTTTATTTGTTGATTTCCACAACTGGACACGAGCTGCAGTGAATCAGTTCCACTGCAAACACTGCACCTTGCAGCTCATAGCTTTACTCTGCAGTGCTGGAGGCAGAGCTAGGAGCCATGCTACAGAGGACCAGCAGTGCCTAGACCAGCAAAGAAGCCACAGAAACAAAATAATTCTCTTACAGCAATTCTCCTTCTCAATCCACTCGGTGCTAAGGATCCCAAAGGCGCGGCAGGCCTCTCCGTAGGCCGCCAGGGAGCCACACAGCTGGAACTTGTTGTGGTTGTAGCAGCCATCCAGGTAGCAGGACTCGTAGAAGGGAAGGGGGTCCAGGAGCCCATAGCAGGGCTGGAAGAAGCCTTTCATGTCCGTGAGCTTCAGGCAGTAGCCATCACCCTGCATCTGCTGGATGTGCACGTTGTCACACGTGGCTGCGTACTGGGAGAACTGTAGCTCGTTGCAGCTGGGGATAAGAGGTCTGGTTAGAATCGGTGAAGAACAGCAATCTGACACACCCAGTGGATGGTAGAACCACATGGCCAACCCTGGAGTTAGTGAAGTATGCCAGTGCCAAAGGAGATGACATCTTTTTTTTTTTTTTTTTAAAAGACATTTATTCAGCGTCATGATCAGACTATCACATTTAGCAATCAACAGCATGGGTGCAAAAAAAAAAAAAAAAAAAAGAAAAACTACATTTAAAACCCTTTGTTGGAATGCTTTACACTTTCCACAGAACAGAAACTAAAATAACCTGTTATACAATTAGTCACAAATACAGTCCTCGAGTTTTTTTTGCCCATACACATGAGTATTGTCTAAAACATGTCTTCTTTGTAGCAGCTAGGCCCTGCCACCACTGTGCTTGGCTGAGTTCACAAATCTGTTGTAACCTGTAGCTTCCCTGTCACTTCTCTGGCTCTCCTCTCCTGCTAAGCTTTGTTTCCTGGCAGTCATTAAAATCTTCTGCCACTGCCATAGCTACTGCTGCTGCTGGAGCCACCATAGCCACCTTGGTTTCGTGGTTTAGCAAAATATTGGCCGCCACCACCATAGGGGCCAGAGCTTCTGCCCCCAAAGTTTCCACCCTTCATGTGGCCTGGACTCAACCTACGTGAGGTAGTGAAATGGGTCCTCGTGCACTAGGACACAATGGGTTAAGCTAAGTGAATGGATTAGTAGCCAAAGTGCTACACGAAAGGCAGATATTGATATAACAATCATCCCTTTGTCGTATAACTTGGTTCAACAATCAACAGCAATAATACTGATGATAGTTAGCATATTTGAAAGGAAGTACAGAACTCTCTAAGGTAATTCTAGTTCAGTTATTTGAAAGCAAAAAAAATCTCTGCAAGAAAGTTAGTATCCAGTTGATGAGAGTTTATAAAGGATGAAAGCGAACAAGACAGGAAGTGGGGGAGTTAATGCGAACAGTTCCTCAGCAGGAACTGAACCTTACTTATCTTTGAAATCCCCAGAACAGCGTGAGTGCACAAAGTTCACTTTTGTTTTCTGTCTGTAGGTCAATGACTAGTATTCTAGAGAAAACATCAAATTAGGAAAGCTGGAACCCTGACTTTGCCATTTACAGGGCCTCATCATGTAAATTAGTAGATGTTTCAGCCTCCGTTTCACCCAGGCAAGGAAGTGATTATTATAGATGTCGCCCAGGCCTCTCCCCAGCTCCGGGCCTCATCATTCACAGAGCAATCTAATGTACAAGACATTACTTAGTTTATCCTTGGAGCAGCGTCAAAGGGCATAATTTCCACAACTGGATGCTTAGCTGACATCTGCCATGTAAAGCACAGGGTGATCAAACCATTACACAAGCAAAGAAATACCAGAAAAAGAGAGAAGTAGAGCCAGCGAGGTGTTAACATGACTCAGCAGAGGGCCCTGAAGTAAGAACCTTGAGGATAACTTGTTTAACTCGTTCTATCTCAGCCAGCCTGACCATAACATTTTAAAGAACAATTTCCGGTATTCATCCATTTCTGCCTGCTTGGACACAGTAAAGCTTATGATAAAACTCAAGGACACTCAATTAGGCCCAGTAATAGGGAGCAGGGGTCAGCCTTCTCTGAATCGGCTCTTTATTTCCCTCTAGCAAGGGTATTTCAGTCCCAGGTGGACCCTGGTCAAGGCTAGAGAGTTCTAACTCCGGGTACACTCTTCTGCTGGCTGTCAGAGGGATTTAATCATATTCCTGCCTCTGCAGTTCAAGAAATTACTGGTGCTTCTGCTGTACCTATTTGAACCATCACAATCCCCTAAGCCCCTTGGCTTTGCTCTGCCAAATAGAATGGACCATACTAGGGAAACCACACTCTTTAGGAACACTGTTCAAGACCCTAAGAGGATTCAGGTCACCACATCTAGTGACCTGAAAGTTTGGGTGTGCTCACCTCTTCTGCATGCCATTGGTTTTCCAGCTCTGGGCCAGCACCACACTGCTCACCACTGGCTTCCCTCGCAAGGTCACATAATCATCTGTTAGGTCACCATTGAAGTTGCCACAGAGGCCACACACTTTATTCTGCAGCCTCTCACTGATGCTGATTTTAATGACGTTGAAACCATTATAGTAGATCTGGATGTCAGGGCTGGTATCAATTACAAGAAATCCCTCACTGCTGTAGATTTTGGTTGCCAGACCAGTTATGAATGGGACATTCACTTGTGTGCCATTCACCTAGGGGGTTTGAGAGAAGGAGGAAGAGTTAGAGTTGGATTTGTCTTTCTTTCTTTCTTTCTTTCTTTCTTTCTTTCTTTCTTTCTTTCTTTCTTTTCTTTCTTTTTTTTTTATTGTTGCTTACATTGTATTATGTAGTACAGTTTTATAGGCGCTGGAGATTCCCCCCACCCCTCCCATACCCCTCCCCCCATGGTGGATTCCTCCACCTTGTTGCATAACCATAGTTCAAGTTCAGTTGAGATTCATTGCTTGCAAACACATGCCTAGCATAAAGTTCAGCATCTTATTGTCCAGATAAGTTCAGTGGCCTCTTGGGGAGACCTTCTATGGTCTGAAGATAGGTCTAACAGAGTAAAGATCCAGTCAGTTAAAAGCCCCAACAAGGCCTCAGTATCAACATACAACATTATGGAATTAATTGACATACTATTGGGTAAACAATATGTTAAAAATAATGCAAGTTCCATTCTTCGAAACATCTGGGTTGAGACAGTATCAATGACAGGTTCAAAAAATAACAAACAACCAAACAAAAAATTACAGGTTAAATCAAGGCAAACATGTGGTATCTAATCTTTTGGGATTCGCTCATTTCCCTTAGCATTATAGTTTCCAGTTGTGCCCATTTAGCCACAAAGAACTGCATTTTGTTTTTTTTAATAGCTGAGTAGTATTCCATGGAGTAGATGAAGACAAGGCTTTTTAGGGGGATGGAGGGGTATGATTTAGAGAGATCTCCCATCTACTGATTCACTCCCCAGATGTCTGTAGTGGCCAGAACTGGGCCAGTCCAAAACCAGGAACCAGTAGCTTCTTCTGGATCTCCCACATTGATGCAGGTTCCAAGCACTTGGGTCACCTTCTTTTGCTTCTCCCTGCACATTAGCAAGGAGCTCAATCAGAAGTAAAACAGCTGAGACATGAACCCATGCCCATACAGAATTCTGGTATTGCCAGTGGGGAGGCATTACTTGCTATGCCACAACACCATCCCCGGGCTTTTTTTTTTTTTTTTTTTGCAAAATCAGAGAAAATGTCTTAGACATTGTAAGTCCTAAAATCTGTATTGTAGCTACTTGAGTCTGCCCTTGTGGCCTGACAGCTGCCGTAGATGATGTGTAACTAAGTGAGCATGGCTGTGTTCCAATAAAGCTTCATTTTCAAAAACAGGCAGAAAGCAACTTGGCTGCAAGCCACAGTGTGCCAACCTCTGCCCTAGAGCTCATAGGTATTCACTCTCCCTGTGCTCTGTAGTTCCCCCCAAACGGAAACCCGCTATGTGGCAAAAGAAGGGGGACGGACAAGAAAAGAAAATACTGGGGTCCAAAATGAAGGCCTGCAGTTGTGAATAAAAAACTTTTTCCAGCACAAACCAATTACTGGAAATGAATCCCAATCCTGCACCAAGCAGAGTCGGATATAGTTCAAATAAATCTGGGGATCGTTGCTACGTTTATTGTTTGCTTGTTTATAATGTTCAAGCTGGGGGTCCCCCCAGAGGTCCTATCAGCACCATATTTTCTGCATTTGTCACTTTCCTGCTTTGTAACATTTTCTTTTCTTAGCCCCTGGGACAGAATATAATGTATTTTTCCTGTACTTACAAAATAAATTGGTTATGTTCCCCAAGTTTTCAGTAACTTTCGTTAAAAGAAAAAAAAAAGCAGATAAGAGTTTAGGAAATATGGCTCTTTACTGCTCTGGCTGGCTGGGGGTATTTTATTCTGCCACAGTGTCAGTTTTATTCTCTCAAGTGGTCATTTTTACTTTCTAGCTCCTGTATTCTGGACCAGTGCAGCTGTCTTTATACGTCAATTCACAAAATGAATTGGAATGTCAAAAACGGTAGCAGTTCTCATTGAGTTAAAAATCACTATTATAATCCAGATTCTTCCTTTTCACTTTGCAAAATGCTGCCAGTCTTTTGCCTAACCCTGGACACTAAGCTACTTGATGACTCTTCAAATAAAGATATATCCAGCACCTGACTGAGAAAACAGATACATACAATAACAATTTCAAAAGTGCAAGTGTGAGCTCCCTCCTCATCCCTCCCTATTTGTGCTAACAGCATCACGGTCTGGCTCTTTCAAGTCTACCTATTCTGACCAGTCTGGCTTTGCTGAGATTAGAGATCATTGTTACCATATCGTCAGGGTGGGTAATCTTCTCAAGCGGAAGGGATGGGGAAAAATCAAAGCTAAATATTAATTATAGGGGGAAGGAAGAAGGGGTGACAGGTTAAAGACTCTCAAGATACCAGGCAATGGGCCTTAGGGGGAGCCAAACTAACAGAAATTCACCATTACAAACCCCATTTTCTTCTACTTGGTATGTCATCATGGGGCCCTCTGGTAGCAAGGGGTGTTCCTTTAGGTTTTATTTACACACTTGTTTGTATTTATAAGAAATGCTTGCTTCCTTTAAGCTTTTGCAAGGATGGCAGGGACAGGCACTGTGGTGCAGTGGGTCAAGCTGCTACTGAAGACTGACTCCCTTGCCCCATATAGGATTGTCAATTTGAGTCCCAGCTATTACGCTTCTGATTCAGCTTCCTGCTAGTGTGCCCGGGAAGGAAGCAGGCAGCAGATGATGAATGGGTAAAATTGTTGGGTGACATGGGAGATCTGGAAGGAGTTCCAGGCTCCTGCCTTCAGCCTGACCCAGTTCCAGCTGTGGGCATTGGAGTGTGAACCATTCAATGGGAAGATTCTCTCTCTCTCTCTCTCTCTCTCTCTCTCTCCTTTCACAACCCCATCCCTTTGCCTTTAAAATAAATATATAAAACATTAGATAAATCATGACAGACATAATGGGCTAGCCTTATTACATGTGAGAAGAGCCAGGAAAAAAACCTTCAGAAGATTTCAGATGTATTCGAGAGGAAAGGGATATAAGAGAATTTCCATATATGCTGATTCACTCTCCATCTGCCTACAACCATTGTGCCTGGCAGGGAGCTGTATCGAGGAGCCAGAAGCACAATCCCGGGCTCCCCTACATGGGTGACTGGGACCCAAATATTAGAGCATTGCTGCAGTACCCCACAGTCTGCATGGGCAGGAAGCTGGAGTCACCTGCTGGAGCCTGGAATCAAACCCATACACTCTGTGAGATGTGGGCTTCTTCACCAAATTATATGTCCACTGCTCAAGAGTAATTTTAAAGGCTCTTGAAAGCAAGAGATGGGAGAGAGAGGGTGTGCTGTGACATAGAGCAACCTTCAATGCCAGCATTCCGTATGCATACCAGTTGGACTTTCCACTGCTCCACTTTCAATCCAGTTCTCTGCTAATACCCCTGGGAGAGTAACGGCGGACGGCCCACACTGTCGGGTTGCTATGCTTATGTGGGAAACTGTGAAGATGCTCTTGTGGCCATATTGGGAGGGAACCACTCACAAAGATCTATCTCTCTCTCTCCATCTCTGTTATTCTACCTTTCAAATAAAGAAGGAATAATTTTTAATATAAGAAACATATAGATTGCCTTTTGGAAATTAATCCTGAGGGAAAGTAGACTTAATCAGACTTTACCACCTGAGGTCCCACTGGCACCCATGCCATTACACTGGCATTTGGAATCCTTGGTGGGGTTCCAAAGACACAGTGGGACCTGTTCTTACATGTAGAAAGAGTGTGCTTTGGAGTTTCAAGATCCATTCAGCTGTGTGAGGAGCTTGGAAGCAAACCAGCACTGCCCCTGAGACTGAGCTACCTGGGGGAAATGGCAAGAATCCGCCCACCTCAGTCCTCGCCAGGCTCCCCACCTTGACAGTGCTGCGGTCGTTGATAAGAATCTGCTCTTCGTTGATGTAGAAATAGATGGGTGAAATGATGGTGAGGTTAGGAGAGGACCACTTGTCGAAGTTGATGATGAGCTGGAAGGAGATGTCCGGCAGCTTCTGGCAGATGGTGGACAACACAAAGGCACAGTTGGCGGGGAAGCGGAGGAAGGCGCCATCAAAGGTGCGGAAGACACCGCCGCCTGCCGCCAAGCAGTAGGAAGTTTTGGTGCTGAAGCAGCCGCGCACTCCATTGCGCAAGGCGCACTCCTCGTCTGACTTGCACTGGCGCGGGTCGCACTGGATCAGGTTGCGTCGGAAGCAGCGGCAGCGACGCGTGCAATCGCTGTTCCAGAACAGCTGTTTGGGCTGTAAGACAGAAATGCCAGTGGTTTAGTTAAACACAGGCAATTGGTGCTGCTGCCTGGGTTCCCTCTCCTCTCCCTATTCCCCAAGAGCAAGTCATCTGGGCTCTAGAGGAGGCCGCACTGGCATGACTGGAACTGTTGGACATATCTAGACAATGGGATGTTGGACTGTCTGTACCAGCAATGTCGGGGTACTCTTAAGTAACAGACTGATGGAATTATAACTCTTTATGAAGAAATATAGTATTGTAACAATATGGGGAAAATCAGTCGGGGCGGAAATTTGGGGGAGGGAGGATCCTAGACTATACATAATTGTACCATTAAATTCAAAATTCAAATAAAAACTCGAAAAAAATTTACCACCAGGAGCATGAGGGAGTCTGCCTCCATTCAGATCTTACATCAGCTCTGTGCAACTCAAATGTCAAAAAGAGTGCCATAGACTAAATTAGCTTTAGTCAAGAGCTCTCCAATCTTTTTACTTGGCTGGTTTGTAGAACTAATCACAGCCAGTCTGGTTGGGTAACTGTTGGGGGAGCTGGGTAAGGAGGGAAAATGCTTGATGTAACATTATTACCCAGGAATCCACTTTCAAAAAGTACAAGCTTCTCTTCAAAGATGAAATTTAAATTTACTGGAGCATGGTAAGTTAGTCATTTAGGGTTTATATCCTCAGAAGTCTGTGATAACCAACTTGTGTGATTAATCATTTCAACATTTCACAACACTTATCCTTGTAAATCTCCCCTTGTATCCGGTTACTTGGTTTCTGTATGTCTTGCCCATGAGACATCCAGGGAACAGCCAGGGTCCATGAAAGAACAATGGGAGTATCAGATCACTGAGTTTCTATCCCAGCCTTGCCACCTTACATGTCTACTTGGAGCAACCAGCCTTCCAAGGTGTCAGTCTGCCTGCCTCTAAATTGGAGAGCATGATAATAACTCGCAGGGCAGTTGTGTTTAGCACATTTCCTGATATAGTAGGTGCTCAGTAAGCTGTTATTAAAGAAGAGCCACCTGTCCTGGTTCAGAAAGCAAAGGAATAAAATCACGTAAAACACCTGCAGCAATGTATACCCTTGGCTGGATGTAACCATTGTTTTCTGATCTTTCCCAAATGGACAACAGTCTCTACACAGACCCTACCTCATGCTGTTTGTATTCTTGACTTTGCACTTGCTGGGAAGTGGGTTGTGATTGTCCACGTGTTGTTTTATCCCTACAAATAATGCCCTAGTGGCATGGCACTCAGAATATCATAGGTTGAGTAACTCTTATCTAAAATGGCTCCGAAAAAAAAATATTGTCCAGGTTTTGGACTTTGGGGGAGAATTTAGACTATCTGCATGTCCCTAAAGAGGTGGCCTGGCACTGGGTCCTGTCTAAACACAAAGTTTATTTACATGTTATACATGCCTTGTACACATAACCTATGGGTAATCTTATACAATGTCTTTAATAATTTTGTTCACAAATTTCAATGCTGTGGAATTTGCCACTTGTTGCATCTTCCCTAAGCTCAGAGTTAGATCTGGGAGCAGTTTCGATTAGGATGTATGGCGTGTAACAAGTTACCTAAGCAGTGTTGTCCAGAAAAGGTGTTGTTAATGCTTCTATCTAGTAACTGTTTTCTGTTTGAACTACTTATCAAAGCCCTGGTTATCAAGTTCAGATATGATTCAGAGTCACAGGTAAACAGAGGGGGAGATCTTCCAATCCCAGCACGCTTTAAGATGCCATTGCTGATTCTTTCATGTCCTCGAACCCAGTTCTTTCTCCTTCCAGACCTCTGAAACATTCTGGGTGCCAGCAGCTTCACCAGTGGACTGTACTGCTGTTACCAGATTTACAGAATAATTGAGTAGATGGTCTGGCTTCTCTTAGATAAGAAGTCAGACATTACATTGGTGGGAGAAGAAAAATAACTTGGCTTATATGAATGTGATCAAAGGTTAATAACTCATTCACAGGAGATCTTGATCATGAAACCAGCATCATAGTAAAGTGGCTGGTCCAATGCTGCTGTCTTATCATTAATTAGACATGACAATGACAGCTGGGTGATTATCTTACATGTTAATGGCTAGATGTGCTCACTTTTTATTCCCAAAGAAATTTGCTGTGTAAACAAGCATTGTGGCAAGTAAATGTGGACTGTTTGTTCTGTGAGTTTGATACTTTATAAATTATTGTCAAAAGCCACTGACTTTCTGACAAAAAAGCAGATAATAATGTTGATATTGCTAACAGAGCTGCCCTGTGCCGTCCCTGAGAGAGCCAAGGGCTTTTACGTACATCATTGCAATTACATGCCTGGCTGTTTACTTTTTTTTTTTTAAAGATTTATTTATTTTTATTGGAAAGACAGATATACATAGAGGAGGAGAGACAAAGAGGAAGATCTTCTTCCATCCTATGATTCACTCCTCAAGTGACCCCAATGGCCGGTGCTGCACCAATCCGAAGCCAGGAGCCAGGAACCTCCTCTAGGTCTCCCATGTGGGTGCAGGATCCCAACGCTTTGGGCCATCCTCGGCTGCTTTCCCAGGCCACAGGCAGGGAGCTGGATGGGAAGTGGAGCTGCCAGGATTAGAACCGGTGCCCATATGGGATCCTCGGCATTCAGCGTGAGGACTTTAGCTGCTAGGCCACACCATCGGGCCCACCTGGCTGTTTTCTTTACAACATGTGTCTCAAGAGAATAACAACAATCACAACAGCTACCAGTTATGGAATGACTGGGTGACAGGTAACAGACTTGATACCTGTAATAGATTATTTATACAAAACCCTACAGGGTAGTTATTGGCAGCCATGGTCAAATGCAATGATACTGCAACTCAGGGAAAGGAGACAGTTTGCTTAAATGTCACACCTCCTTTGGGACTGGTGGGATTGCTAGGCTCAAACCCAGATCTCACTCTGTTATGCTATTCTGCTGGTCAGGATCGCAAGGGTCAGGCATATGGCGTCGGTGAGAGACAAACGCACTTCCCAAGTCTCTGGGCTGCGGCATGGAGTTTAGAAGAGGACTTCTGGAGTTTTAAGCCTCAATATATCTCTTCCCTGACTGTAGACAAATGAAATTGATTCTTATATTTTCCCACATGTTCTGCTTTTTCCTTTCAAATCATAGTGCTAAGCCCCAACTTCAATACCACTTCTCCCAAGCAGTCTTCTTTGATTAATTTTTCTACTCAACTGCCTCCCTGCCTTCCTAATGAGCATTTAAATAAGTTTTCCACTGGAAACGAAATTCAAAGCAACTTCCATAATGCTTTCCCCTTTTGTTTAAAGACAACGCAGTTGTTCTTGAATAAGTCAATGCATCTTTACAAGAAATAAATTTTTTTTGCCTACATTTCCAGTTCAGGCATTTCAATTGGATTTCTTTTAAATGCTACTATTCTTTTCCATTTAAAATTGATTAGTTCTGTAGGGTATTATTTTTCACTTGTTGATCTGTCATTTTGTAATTGTTCTCTTGATCTTTAGAGTATATCATTTTTCCCTCTCCTAAATAGATTTTTTAAGTCCTTAAGGCAGGGAACATACTTTCATCCCCCACGATACCACCAGCACAGCGATTCACAATTAGCAGATATTCAATGTTTTCAGCTGTTAGCTGCCTGCTCACCCACAGGAGGTTTTGATGCCACTGAAACAGAGAAGAGTTTTGCAAGCCAAAACTCAAACTTAACGCTTTCTTTCGGCGAGGTCTTTTCTAGAACAACGTGCTATGACACATGAAGAATAATGACATGTTCCCAACAGCAGCAAGATTGAACTGATATGTTTTACCAAGAACCATCTACAGACAGCAACTCAGTTCTCACAGCTAAGGTGCACAGGGTGGTATGTGGGGGGGCTTGCCACCCCACCTAGGCAGGCTAGATCTGGCTCTCTGCAGAAGCTCAATGACCAAGGATACAGAGATGGAACCATGGTTTCCTCTCACACGACTTCAGGAGCCAGAGTCAAGGCTGTTCCAATCCTATCTTGCCCCATATTTTCATTAAAAATGTCCTCAGCCCAGACAGCTACAAATGTCAGAGTCACAGCTAGTGTGTTTCAAAACAGAGCCACATGAGGGTTTTCCAATATGATTTACAGGAGCGGAATTCAGAAGGGTCTCGGCTCCAGACAGGCCCAGCAGAGCAAAACCCATATACTGGAGAAGAAGGGAGCCTCGCTGGTGGGGACAAAGAGGGAAGATGCTCAATGGGCAAGAGGCTCATCTCAACTACTCTCAACCCCCAGCCCCACCCCACCTCCCTGCCATTAGACATCCCATTTCTTCTCAGGCGGTTCTCACCAGCCTCTCTGGGCTGGAGGAGAAGGCCAGCTTGCCTCCATACCTCGTAATATTTGCCGTCTGAGTAGCAGCCACAGTTGTGGGGTAGGATGCAGCTCTTGCCATTCAGAACATAGCCAGCATCACACTGACAGCCTTCCACGCAGTAGTGGTTACAGTCACTCTTCAGGCGGATGGCGGCACAGCGGGGCTGGCAGACACTCACACAGCTCTCATAATGGCTGTTGGGAGGGCAGGTGACAACTACAAGGAAAGAGGCAAATTAGAACCTGTGCAGTCACACGGTGATATGGACATTGCTTGGGATGGAAGGCATGGGGAGAGTAGAGGCTGTGAAATTGCCACCTTTCTTCATTCCCATTGCCCTCTTGCCCCGGAGAATTGCCCCTTCTGACTCATCCATGATCACATGACCTTTGTTCTCTCCTCAGCCTTGATTTTTGGGGTCCTCATCACCTACTGGCTCAAACCCATCTCCCAAGTTGCACAGCACCTGACATCCTCCTGGAGCCATCAGCACCTGCCCACTCCCAGGCCTTTAAGTCTGCCCACACTCAATATTGATCTCTCAGTCCTGCCTGTTTGGTCCTCTGAGTCTTTCCACATTTCCTGTCGCTCAAGTCCCAATCTTAACCATACTGCGCCCTCCTGTTATCCCATAGCTAAATTGCCTTCATCCCAAATTCCTAGAGAGCCTTATTTTAGACTGGAAGTCTGTCAATGGTAGATCTCCAAACATCATGTTTTCTGAGAAAGCAAATATACACTGTGTGTGTGTTATGTGTACATGTGTACACGCTGGTTCAGGTTGGCATTGTGTCACAATTTTTCAAATACATTGACAGGTCATTAGGGAAGGAAGTTTGGGTGCTGGCAAGGAATAGCAGCCCTGGGGCCAACTACAAGAGACACAGGGAGAGTTTGGAGATGTTCTGGGCCCCAGCTGTCCTGTCTATATAATGTAGACATAGCAGCAGCTAGGTCATAGCAGGTTGTAAGGAACTGAATTTGCCCATTTGGAACATGTGAGTATGAAACAATGATTAGACAATCATTAAGGACAAGATTGCTTCAAAGTTTGATGGGGCTATTTTTTTAATCAATATACACTAAGCTCAAATAGTGTTATACTGGGACTTCTACTCTATATAATAATATACAGTGTGTATTTTTTTTAGATTATCTAGAGGGCAAAATACAGTCTTTTTTTTAAAATTTATTTTAGTTTTATCCTAAAGTCAGATATACAGAGAGGAGGAGAGACAAAGAGGAAGATCTTCCATCTGATGATCCACACCCCAAGTGACCCCAACAGCTGGCACTGTGTTGATCCGAAGCCAGGAGCCAGGAGCTTCTTCCAGGTCTTCAGAGTCCAGAGTGCTAACCATTTCATCATGGAACCCCATCATGCTTCCAGGTCTTCCATGCGGGAGCAGGGTCCCAAGGCTTTGGGCCATCCTCTACTGCTTTCCCAGGCCACAAGCAGGGAGCTGGATGGGAAATGGGGCTGCTGGGATTAGAACCAGTGCCCATTTGGATCCCAGCACTTTCAAAGCGAGGACTTTAGCTGCTAGACCACTGCACTGGGCCCCAGAATACACCCTTGAAAGGTGCAAGTCTGTGAATTTTCACACATGTGTAGAGTCATATGACCACAATATATGAACATTAAATAGATTTTTAAACATATTCAGTTTGATAGAACATACGAGTGGTAGAACATGCAACTGAAAGTAGTAATAAACAAGAGTTGACTCTTCTGGAGCTTTTCTGTGCATAAACAAGCACAGACACAGAATTGTGTATCCTGTGTTCATTTTTTTTTTTACATAAACAGTAACATAATATACACACTTTTCTGCTCATGGCTTTTTTTTCTCGTTTAGCCTCAAATGATTGTTTGTGCAGGGTTGCACGGTGTGTATTTTATGTTTATGATGCTGCTACAGCGAGCACCTGCTCCATTTGTCTTTGTCCGCATGAGTAAGTGAATCTATAAATTCCCGTAAGTAGAATTTCTGAGCCAAAGGATTAAAATGCCACCGGTTTGCCCTCTAAATGGGTGATGCCAGTGTTTCCGCCTTCCAGGACTACACAAGAGGTTTGCAGTTCCATGTCCTTGCTGGTTTGTTATCACCAAACCTTCTGATCCATGGAGATACGAAAGGTGAGAATGCCCTGTTTGCATGTGTTTTGTCTCCCTGTCCTGGGAAAAATGATCATCTTTTCTTTCATTTATCTTTTTTTGTGAATTACGTTTTTTGTGTCCTTTCCCCATTTCTGTCACTTTTTTAAATTAAATTATGGAAATTCCTTATAGCTTAAGAACAAACCATTGGGTGTCATATACATATTGCAAAGTATTTATCTCTTTTGCCTTTCCCTTTTTTCTTTTGTTTTGTACTTTGTGTGTTTCATCAAGCCTTAGACATGTGGAAATGCAGAAATCTTAATGTGGTCAAATATATAAGCTTTTCCTTTGTGAAAACTTAGAAAGACCCGCTCCAGGATCTGAAAATACACTTTTTTCTCATTAGTACATGTAACTTACTCCAGGACTAACCATGTTATAGCTCACTAAACAAGCCTCAGCATCATCAAAATTCTACCATGCATCTTCTCAGACCATCATGGAGTAAAACTGGAGACCAATGACTCAAAATACCTCAGAAGGTGTGCAAAGACCTGGAGACTGAACCATATGTTACTAAATGAACAATGGGTTAGAGAGGAGATCAAAGGTAAAATCTTAAAAATCGCTTGAAACAAATGAAGACATCAGCACAACACATCAAGACTTATGGGACACGATCAAGGCAGTCTTAAGAGAAAAGTTCATCTCAGTCAAGGCTGATGTTAACAAATTAGAAAAGCACCAAGTAAATGAGCTAGCCATACATTTGAAGGAGCTGAAAACAACAGTAAATCAGTCCCAAGAGTAGTAGAAAAAAAGAACTATCCAAAATAAGGGAGGAAATAAACCAAAGAGAGATCAAAACAACAATATGTAAGAGCAATGAATCAAAGAGCTGGTTCTTTGAAAAAATCAGTAAAATGGATTCCCCACTAGCCCAACTAATCAATAAAAGAGGGAGAAGATATGAACCAATAGGATCAGAAACAAAAAAAGGAAATACAGCAACAAATACCTTGGAGAGCCATAGAATTATTAGCAACTATTACAAGCAACTATGTGCCAACAAATCAGAAGATAGAAGAAATGGTTAGATTTTTGGACACAGACAACCCAACAAAAGTGAATCATGAGGCATTCATTCATCTAAATAGACAAATAACAATGACTGCGGTTGAATCTGTAATGAGATCCCTCCCAACCAAGAAAAGCCCTGGACCAGATGGCTTCACTGCTGAATTCTACTGAATGTTTCAACAAGAACTTACTCCAATCCTCCTCATGCTATTCCAAACAGTAGACGGGAGGCAATCCTTCCAAACTCTTTCCATGAAGTCAACATCATCTTAATACCAAAGCCAGCTAGAAACGCAACAGAAACAAAGAACTACAGACTGACTTCCCTGATGAACACAGATGCAAAGAATCTCAACAAAATACTGGCCAACAGGATCCAGCTTGTACATCAGGCAGATCATTCCCCTGTGCCAAGTGGGAGTAATTCCTGGTATGCAGGGATGGTTTAACATTCGCAGATCAATAATTGTGATCCACCACATCAACAAATCAAAAAATTAAAGCCATATATATGATCATTTCAATAGATGCAGAGAAGGCTTTTTATAAAAATCAACACCACTTCATGCTAAAAACAAATGTTGGTTTTTTACAAAGCAAAAGAAAGACCCTCTCCACTGCAAGATGACAGAATATGCCTTTGGTTTCATCTGATATTTTTCCATTTTCATATTTTATGCCCAATGTTTGTTCAATCTGTGTTTTTCTTTTGTAGGGAATGTAGGAAAGATTTTGGTTCTTTATCTCCAGTCTGTCCTGGGTCCCTATAGTTCGCTGTGTGATGGGGAACTTGTGTCTGTGATATGACCTGCTTCTTACTAATTTCTTTGTCATGTTTGGGCCTGTATTTAAGCTTTCTCACCTTCTCATCTTGGTCTTTTTGTTCCAGTGCCAGCATTAACTTGTTTGATTCTTACTATTGACTTGCTGAAACTTGTCCCATACGTCAAAATTAACAGCAACTTATGTGCTGGCATACATGATAACATCCAGAAAGATGAAGTATGTATTTGGCATTCTTTGTCATTCTTCCATGTTTTTCAAACAGATTCTATCTCTAACCATACTATGCACTTCATTACTTTATTCTTGTGATTACTCCATGGCATCCAAAATGTTGCTGAGAACATGGTAGATGCTTAATAAACATATGATTCTTGAAAACAAACTTTCAAAGTCCTAATACTGATTTTCTGCTTGCCATTCCCCACAAATGAAGTTCTGAGATCTGTGGAATGATTAGTGAATTATGCATCTGTAAATACACTGTGTTAGGACTGACACATCCAGTTGTCTGACTTCTCATTGATGCCTCGCTGGTCAACAGAATGAGCAGACTCCCATGAAATGCCATCTAGTATCACAGAATACACAGGCGCTTTGGACTCATCCTGAGATGGTATTGAACCCTGCCTCCACTGTTAGCTAGCAGTATCGAAGAGAGCAGGCTGTTTGTTCTGACTCTAGTCTCTTCTGTAAAACGAGGACAATAATGCCTCTAATATCCAGCCCTGGTTTAGATAACGAGAGAAACAATTTAGAAAGATATCCATATACTGCCTGATACTTGTATATCTTCTACTAGTAATGGTAGTAGTAGTAGGATTGGTAGAAATTAATTTTTTAAAATTATTCAGAGGGAACAAACTGGATGTATGAAGAAGTCAATTAAAAGAAGTCCAATTACCAGACATTGGACTCAGGAGTCTGAAGTAGCAAAAAGTACCTCTCAACAAAGAGGAGGCGGTCATGGCAACTAATTTTGACCTCTTACCACTCTTCAAAGAGTGGGTCTCAAGGCACGGAGAGGCCAACACTGAATAGCAGAGAGTGTGCTATCTCTGGAGCCCATTTTCAACTTAAGCAAGCCTTATTCCCTGGGAAGTTGACTTTAGTTCTGTTTTCTCCTCTAGAAAATGGGATTATTCCTCGTGTCTGCAGAGTTAGTGTGAGGAGTAAATGAATCTGTGAATCCCATTTAGAATGTTAGTAGTGCTAGAATGAGGCTATTACTTGGACCCCTGTCCACATGGGAAGCTTAGATTGAATTCCTCCTGGAATTCCTCCTGGATCCTAACTTCATTTGAACCTAGTTCCCACCATTGCAACCATTATCGGAGTGAGCCAGCAAATGGAGATCCTCTCTGTCTCTGTCTTTCTCTGTAACTGCCTATAAAATAAATAAATAAATACATATTTTTTTTAAAAAAAAAAATACTGCTAGAACATAAGATGAACTAAGAAGCAGCTATTGTTTGATCAATTATTTTTTCTCTGACCCTACTAGAAGTTGTTTTAAGTCTCCCATTAGGGGACTGAAAACTCAGCTGTACGAAGCTTAGGAAGGGTTAGTAATTAAGGTAATTTACCTCCGTCTCCCTCCCAGCCTATTTGTTCAACTTGTGTGACGAGGTTTTCTAATGTGTTTACAAATAACATAATTGAGTAATAAATTATTCCACTGATAGGGACAGCCAATACTATTGAAAAACACCCGCATTTCACTGTGCTCTCAAAACACACAAGTTCCATGGCTTAACCTCTTTTCTTCTGAAAGCACCATTTCTGGTGTCTCAACATCCGAGAGTTAAATTAGATTGATTTTTAGCAGAATGGTGCATGTGTGTGTAGAGGGGTGAATGTGGTGTGTGTCCTGCATTCCTTTCTTAGAAGCGAAAAGTCCAATCATACCTGGCAACAAACTGCCACATACAAGCCAGATGTCTGTACTCACCCACCTCTAGGTTGGTTGGCTGAGTTGGGACACAAGCTCTTGCAGCTTTTTCAGCTTCTGAACTTCTAAGGTAACCACGAGCTGTCCCCTGCTGTGCCCTGTCAACACTCACATCACCACCACCACAAACACTCTTCACAAATACATTCCTTCTCTTATTTTAGTTTTCTCTTTTGCCACGTATCACCGCGAGATCCTTGGGTGCTCTGTTTGGTCTCTGGCCCTCTCCTTCAATGAGAATGTAGGGAAAAGTTCTACATCTTCTTGTGACAGGAACAATTCCTGGTGCATCAGACTAGAACATGCTTGGGGTTGGGGGCAGCTGGTCCAAGGCAGTAATGGCACCCAAGATTGAGGCAAGACTGATTCTGAATGTCATGGGTAGAGTTCTTCAAGAGTTGCTGTAACTAGCCAACAGAGCAGGCAGCTGATATCCAGATAGAATCTTGAAAATGGGAGAGTGATGGGTCACCAGTAGAGGTAACACAAAGATAAGAAACAAAAATTCATTTTCATCTTCATTTTTCCTAGCTAATCTCCATGAAGGTGGGCTGATTTTCCTCATACTTAGGCTATGGGGGCTGGTCATGGGACTTAGTAACTCAATTCCTTTGCCTTCCCATGAGTGACAAAAATTGAGACCAATTAACTGGAATGGAAATTCCTGGCAATAGCCATGTTCACCAAAACTAGAGCAATGGCATTTGGCAATCGCCATGCTAGCCCCTATCCCAGCCACCTCCAGAGAGCAGTAAGACTCCACGCCTGGCTATAAGGAAAGTGGGAATTCCCTGTAGGAAATCTCAAAGGGAAACAGACCCAGCCTTTCCAAACCCCTTTCCTCACCATGTACAAGGAGGAGAGCTTAAGATTCAGAAACTAGCTTACTAATTTAGAAAAAGAGCTCCCTTGTCCTACTGTGCTGACCCTGATGAGTCCAGAGCTGCTCTTGAGATTTATCCAGACTTGAACTCTTTTTGTAGGCATACTCATTTTACTGAAATCACCAGAGGTCAATTTGGACAGCAGCCCCTGCTGTCACTACCTGCCTTACATCTCACTTGGGACTCAGCCTGCATGAAAGCTTTCTTTCCTTCCATCCCCACCTCCTCTGGCCCCTCCCCTCACACTTGCATGAATCCAATGACTGTATGTTGGATGTAGGCTGATAGTGGGCATTAGACCTCAGCACTATCTCTGGATTTCCACCCATGTTTCCCTTTTCTGAGATGAGAATGGGAGGCTGTCTCCAGGAACGCTATCATCTCACTCAAGTATTCAGTATCTATTTGCAGCTTTTGTTGTACAGTTAGGACCCCCATCTCCAAATTTAAATATATATATATATATATATATTACAGTTAATGAGATTGAGATGGGAAAATAGACCAGAGCAGGTTAGCCAAAGACCAACAGCAATTTCTGCTCCAAACGTTTTCCAGTTCTCATGTGCTAAAGGCAAGCAAATTATTCCACCAGTGTAGAGTAGGAGTTGAGATTTTGAGGTTAGAAAGCCAAGTATAAAATGTTAATAAAGTCTTTAGCACCATGCTTGGCTCCAAGAAAGCCATTAATAAACTAATGCCACTTAGTATGTGTAGAGCGTAAATGGTGTAGGCAGCACAGTCCTTGCTAAGTAAAAGGTAAGCAGAGTCAAGGAGAAAAGGTGAATGGCTCCAATGTTACACTGATATTTCAGAGCAGAGTCAAGGCTAGAATCCAGGAGTTCTAATTCTCCTCTAATGCTCACAATATTCTTCCATTTCCTAAGCCCAAAGACTAGGATGTAACCTATATGAACCAAACACAGCACACTTAAGAGAGATCATAAAATCACTCAAACAATGGTGGTCCCATGAGGTTCTAGAACAACTGAACTAATTAACTCCTTCATTAGCCTTTTATTAACATTTTACTGACACTTGGTAGGTATAAAAGTTATGTGTGGTATGATGTGCTTTATACACCTGATATTGATTATTCTTATCAAAACCCACGAAATACATAGGTTGAAATGGGGTATCAACCCTCTTTTACAGATAAGGAAATGGAGGCACCAAGGGGCTACTTATCCACTTTCAGATAACAAACTCAACTCCACAGTGACATACTCTTAAATTTCTCTATTCAATTTGTTGAAACTTGTATGGAGTTTGTGCCCACATCAATTGACATCGAGGGGAAGCCAGAAGGAGAGATAATGAAAAAGACTCACAGCAGGATGTGTAATTCCTCCAGCCAGTCACTGCGATCCCCTGGGTCTGGCAGGTGCTGGCATAGTTCTGCAGCCAGTTGCAGGCGGTCTGAACTGCACCACCATCAATACATGAATCAAACAGGCAGTTCTTGTAGAAGAAGGTGGGGTTGACTTTGCTGTGACACTTGGAGAAGCCAGCGTTCTGGCTGGGAATCAGGCTGCACAGTTGTTGCACCTTGGAGAAACCTTCAACCTTATTGCAGGACGGACAACGGTCCCCACAGCCCACTTGGCAGAAGGTATCCCTCTTCACCCAGCTCTGCCCAAATTCGTTGACACTCAATGCAAGTAGACCCATGGGCATCTCCAGGTCATCTTCAGGGTTGCCATTGTAGCGGCCGCACAGTCCATAGGTGCTGTTCTGCATGCTCCGAGGGACAGTGATGGAAAGAAAGGTCTTCCAGTCGTACACGACCTTCAAACCAAAATCAGTTTCCACCACCACATGGAAGCCAAAGGAAAATATATTTATCTTCCCTTGTCCCAACTTCAGGGGCAGATACAGCCGTTCATTGTTGACCTGCAAAAGAAGGAGAGTCTTGGTGGAGAAACACAGTTGATCCAGACATTTCCCAACAGTTTCAATTCTTCTCAAGAAAGACAAGTCCCAGAGGGGACTTGGGACAGGTTGAGTCTTCGCATATTGGTTGTTTTTGTCAGTCAACTATTATTATTAGGACTTGAACAGACCTAAATGACTATCTTTTGTACACTAATATACCTATTCATTTTGGTGCCTTCTGTTTACATAGCATTATTTCCCCTAGGAGTTCAAATTGTTTTCTCCAAGGTAATGAGAGGGTAATAAGAATTCAATTAAGGTTTAGACTAAAATATCCAACTCTAAAACTCTTGTGTTTCTATTTCCAGCTCTGCTGTAGATTTATTTTAGGCAAGCCCCAATTTATTAATTCCTTCAGGAATTTTTTCCCCTTGAAGGATGACTTCACTTTGCTGTTCTCTCAGCTTGGTATGCCATGCTTCACCAGCCAACATTCATCTCATCCCCCCACCCCAACACCGTGTCCTTTGTAAAGCCAGATTTTCCAAGCCCAAACTGCTGGTCAGAATGAATCACTCCTTCATCTGGGCAACAACAACTTGTTATTTATACTTCTCTTTTGTTATTTGGCCAAGACTAAGCCTATGCATCCTGAGATTGAAACACATACCACAGTCTGCCTTTTATTATGATTAGCTGCATACACTCTGTCTCACTTACAGGTTTATGAGCAACCAGTAGTCAGCAGCCACATTTTATTGATCATACCTACTGTCCCCTGGTGATCCCCCAGGTGACTGATACTGTGCCTCACAGAGAGCAAGCACTTGACACAAGTTTCTCCCCATATATTTTAATTTCAGACAGTAAGGAAATCCCTTAACATCAAACTCCAGAACTACACCGTCCTTCGATTGCTTTGATTCAGATGGGTCACATCTAATAGCCTGTGGCTGGGTTAGTACATGCTGGAAAATAGAGACAGCTTGCTGGTTCCTGGGAGGTGAGGGTAAAAGGTGAGCAAGTCTCTTGTGGAAGAAGCAGGTGTTTCAGGATTACATTCTGGCCAGAAATCCTTTCTACCCACCTCTTTCTTCTCTCCTTGGGTTGATCCCTCTGCTTACTCCATGGCTCCTGCTGTAATGCAAATTCTTGACCCTCTTCACCTTGACTGTTGAATCACCTCCTAACTTGTCACTTTTGCTCAAGGATTGCCCTTCACCTCCGTTCACTCACCACTGTCAGTCCAGAATTTTAAGATGCAATCAAAATTGACAAGCCCAGTACAGAAGGCATTTTCCAGGGCTTGGGCAGATGTCTCACTTGTTTTGCACAATCCATTGGATTTTTCAGGATTTGACCTCACCTCTCAGACCCAGCCACAGGTCTTTCATAGCTGCAATACTCAATAATTTGCTGTTCTAACTGAACCACATTGTGTCATTTCTCCCTGCCATTTCTTATGTTACAGCATAAAGATTTCTGGCCCCTTGCCCTGCACCATGACACTGAATGATGATAAGTTCAAAGCTTGATTTGGGTCAATGGGAGCTACTTGGCTCAAAGGGTTATGAGCCCCTGTTATAAACCATCCACATCAAGTGTACTAGGCAAATTTAGGGACAAATTCTATGTTATAAGTCATGTATCAGATCTCCCAATAACTCATGCTAGCCCTAAATCTCTGACTTCCACCGCGCACCTCCTGAACTCTCTTTCTCCATTGCTTTTCTCAAATTTCATGCTCCCCTTACCTTCTCAAGCAACCCCATCTCGGATGTTGTTGCTAGTGAACCTTATGTAAGACAGCAAGAATGACCTTTCCTCCAGCCCACTCTCCATTAGACAGTGCTCTTCTTCCCAAACTCAACTCAACTGTCTCCTCTTTTACAAAAATCCATGCAGGAAGAATTCATTCATCCATCCAGTAGACATTATTCTGGCACCACCATGTGCCAGCAGGCACTGTGTTTAAGGCTGGAATAAAGCAAAGAACCCTTTTTTCCCTTAGAAGCTTACAGATATGTGGCAGAGATGGACACATAAAGAGATAGTAACATCACCTGATAAGGCAGCAATAGATACAAATAAGTGCTCAGCACCAGGCTCCATCTGGAGACAGCATCAGTAATGTCTGAAGAAGACATTACCCTTACCTGGTCCCAAATGATGGGTGGGGGTTGGCCAGACAAAGAGGAATGTGAATGAAGAAAGGTGAATTTCGAGAAAAGGGCTCAGCCCAAGCAAACACCTAAATGAGAGGAAAACATCCTGATAAATATGAAGAATTGCAGCAATTTAGTGCTGCTGGAGCATAAAGTGTGTCCTTGGGAATGGTAGGATATGAAGATGAAGGTGGGGAGGTACTGCACCATGTAGGGCCTAGTGTGCCATATCACGCATGGCAGAAGTCCATGAGATAAAGCCTGAAACGTACTCACTCATTTTTCAAAAAAAAAAAAAGAGTCAGTAATGATCTTAATAAAAGAATTTTTGATGGGACACAAAGCCAGAAGTCAGATTGCAGAGGCAAATGATAGTTGGGAGATGCAGAAGCAGATATGATTTGGCTCCCAAGGGAAAGAAAGAGATTGGATAGAGCCTCATAGAAAGGGATCTTATAGGAAGGGAACATTGAAGACATAGGGGTAAGGGGAGATGACAGATAATCAAGATCCCAGGGAAGGCAAAAAGCAGGATAGGTATGGATGGAGAGTGATGGGGAGGTGAGGGATGAGAGGAGAAGAGGTGCTGGGTTCTCTGTGCTTGGAAGAATGAGAAAGATGCCACGCACCCCACCTGAGTGTCAGGATGTATTGATGTGGGGAAGAGAGGGGAGATACTACCAAATGAGCACGACTTTCTCAGCCAGGAGAGCCCTATGCAAACACAGCTTTGACTCAGCAGCTCATGGAGGGAAGGAGTCGTGGAGACCCTGTCCTGCCCTGCAGCCTCACAACCAATCAACTAGAGCCCATTCACCCCAAGGCTGACCTGTGTATCTCACTTGATTCCCAAGTCTCCCTTCATTCCATATACCCTACCTCCTTAGCATCATGTAGGAAGCAACACCTTGGGGAAGGAAGATAATGAGGGTCAAGCTAAAAGTCTTGCAAGTTTGGTCACTGCTAAAGCCTGAGAACAGAACATCTTTCAATGCAGAAAAAAAAAATGAGCTACTCTCAACATCAGTGTTCTCCATCCAGGCAACTCTGTCCTGAATCAATCTCTCTCTTTCTTCCTCTCTCTCTCCCCTCCCCCCCCCCAGTGAGAAATAGAAGGAAAGGAGATTCTAAGGGAGAGGAGCTCAGAGGAAAAGGAGGAGGTTGGTGTGACAATGCAGCTTGATGGATAGGGGAGGAAGGCACAGAGAGGACAAAAAGTACGAGGATATGAGGGTGTGGAGGGATGTATTTCAAATATTTAAGTGCAGCTAACACCAGGATCCATAGAGATTGGTTCCTCTGCCTGCTTCAGATACTAAAATTTTCAGATGCTTTCCTTGTAGAAAATGCCATAATGTTTGCATAGAACTTACATATTTCTTCCTGTATACTTTAAATTTTCTCTGGGTGACTTATACTACTCAATTCAAGATAAATGCTATGTGTATTGTACTGTAGTATAAAGGCAATAATTACACCCTTCACATTATACTGTTCTGAACTGGTAACAGGTCCATCTGTCCCATGAGACTATGAGATCTCTTAGGACAGCCTCTTGGACTTTGTCTATGGTTTCAATATGACTTTTCCCCTTCCCTCACACTATATATAAAACCTCAAAGTCATAAGCAGAGGACAAATATAATCCAGTTTCAGTATTTAGGACATGGAGCCCAATGGGAGATAGTTAAGTCATTGGGGTGTGTCTCCAGAAAGAAGTTTTCATGAGATTGTTGTCATAAAAACCTGAGTTTAGGGTCAACTTTTCTCTCACTCTCTCTCTACTTTCCGACTTACTGTGGGATCCTCCCTGACCCATCTGTCTTCCCCAATAGATGCCAAACCAAGGAGATCATCCAGTCTTGGCCTTGAACCTCCAATGCAGTGAGCTAAATAACCCCATTTTTCTTATCACAAAATATACATGCTCCAATATTTCACTGCAGCACTGAAAAGTGAACTAACACAGAAGCCATGCTGTTGCCTTCACTGATCTCATGCTTGATACCATCTTTCCCAAAAATTCTCATTTCTTGGCACAGAGTAGCCAACTGTCCTAGCTTGTACAATGAGACTGGGCCAGAGTGATGCTTAGACGCTCACTCCTTTTTGATGGCCACTGGACTGACAATAGGTGACAAAGATACAGGATGTAAAGACCTTGTAATCCTGCCTATTGGCTGGATGTGAAGGATGTGGCTGTGCTACAGAGCAGGAAGTCCTTCTCTCCTGAGCTCTGGCTGTGGAGGTGGAGCTGCAGTAGTGCCCGCTGGGAGTGGCTCGCTTTCTGTAGCTCACCCCCATTATCCTGTCTGCTCTATAGATAGTATGTTTATTTTCAGCATCCCTTGACTTGGTGGATTTTCCCACATCCTGAAGGGCTCCTGAATACAGAGGAGGATCAGAGTCACAGAAGGACCCTGTGTCCCCAGAAGCCCCTTCCATGTCCTCCTCCATTTCTGCAGGCACCGGCAGTGACCTGGAGCTTTGGGTTCTGCTTTGTCCTGCACTTCATTTCACACTGTTATTACAACAGCCATTATTCTTCAGGCCCATGGAGGGACGGTGACTAATAATAACATCATGGGAAAAACAAATGCAAATCATTGAATAAGCAGATCCTCTAACACATATTAATAATTCAAAGTAAGTGCTGAATCTGTCCCCCAGATCCCAAAAGGAAAGGAGAACCTTTGGTGCACTCTGAGCTTGCTCTTCTCAGCAGGGCTTGTAAAGCAACATGCTTTGTTCCCCACCTGCACACTTGGGGCTTCTGGTGACTTAGAAAAAAGGGCCTAGCCACAGCTTGTCCCACCCCTTTAGTACATTCCTCCCAGATGCCCACTGCTCTTTAGTTACCCTGTTTGTGGTTCAATCGTGTTCCTTGAAAGATAAGATGAAGTCTTAGCCTTTGTACCTATAAACACAATCTTTATTTGGAAATAGGTTATTTGAAAATGTGATGACGTTAAAGTGAGGAATTATTGCATTAGGGAGGCCCTAAGCATAGTGATTGATATCCTTAAATGCACAGGGAGACCTGGACAGGGAAGGGAGATGCACAAATGATAGAAGAGAAGCTTTACTGCTATGAGTCAAGAAACACCCAGGATGGCCCACAAGCCCCAAAAGCTAGGATAGAGATTGGGGACAGATTTTACTGCAGAACCTCAGAGAGCATGATCCTACCACCACTTTCATCTTTGACTTTAGTCTCCAGAACTGTTTAAATCTCATAGTCTTGCAGTATTTTGTTTTGGCAACTTTAGGAATTAAACACATGCCCACCCTCTCCAAACGAAGACTAAATGAGTTGTGTGATTCTTGTGGCCCTTGCCTTTAGCAATGAGTGAATCTCAGGATGCTGAGGCAGCACAACTGCCTGGATGGTGAGTTGCCCCACTAGGGGCTCAGCAGAGGGAAAGGGAAGAGATATCTGAAAAGACTGAGGAATCAGTTACTCTGGAGGAAGTAAAAGGGACAGTGTGAAAAAAACAAAACAAAACAAAACAAAAATAACCCTACGTGCTTATGAGGATCCACTGGTCTATCTGTGGAAAGAACTGGGAAGAAATCAGAAGATGACATGTGTAACCTCAGCTATCTATATACCCAACTGGTGAAAGCTAGTAATAGGAGGCATAGAGTAGGGTTCATAATAACCCCTCTGGAGCAGGACCTATGGAGAAGCCTTACTTTCGAAGAGGAAAATCTGAAAGATGAAAGAGTGTTGAATGTCCAGTAACTTCATGAAAATGTATCAATCTCAGGTTGGAACTATATCAGATGAGAAGAAAAAGACACACATGACAGAAGTCACATGGACACAAAGATCGATCTATTTGCTTTAACCTGTGGTAAAAATGGAGAGGGAACTCGCCCCAAAGGGCAGCTGTGACTCTCCAGACATCCATGATCAGAGCCTATGTGACTACAAGCAGTGTATCAGCCAAATCTCCAACTTGTCCCATTGGTAACTTAATCTTTCAGATCACCAAAGAAGGCAGCGGTAGCTGAATGAAAAGCACAGGGACCTTGAAAGAAAAGGTTATGATGTCATCTCATTGATTCTCTTGACAAGTGTTTTGAGTATTGCCGATTGCACATTCATCCAACATGAAGATGAATGAGCTGTGGTCCCTGACCTCTAGGAAGCCTACAATTAGAAATGAGGAAATTAAGAAGATTGGGGGGGGGAATACAATATGATTAATTCAATCATAAGTACAGGAATAAATTGTTATGAGAAGCATAGAGGAAAACAATTGAGATTCAGGTTCATAAACTCCAAAAGGGGGACGAAAATTGCCATAGAGAGCTTGCTACCTTCCATGCTAAGAAGGCAGATCTCCCAATAAATGTGAAAGGGAACATAATTCTAAAAGCATGCGAACCTCTCTTTGCTAGAGAAAAAAGGTTAAGGAAATCCCAGGGATAAAAAGAAATCAGTAGCACTGCCCAGGGAACTCTTTAGTACGGTGTAGTTAGTTTAGTACAGTTTGGTTCAGAATTTTAAAGAGGACATATACAAAATGAAAAAGAGTCCCCTTAGAGATAGATAAATGATGCTGCAGATCTCCGAGCATAATGTCAAGAAGGCCAATACCCTAAATCAGTTCCTCCAAACTGCTGGAACAGAGGCTATGGGCTTGCTTCTTAGTGTTTCAAGTCATGCTCCAAGCCATGGCTGGCTCACAGCTGGGGTAGCTGTTGTCAGCCTGCTCAAGCAGGTACAAAAACTCCCTGCCCCATCACTCCTTTCTTTAAGGTAAGGAAGTGTTCTTTGATTGAAAGGGTGGGAGAGGTACAAAATGAGACCTGAAGACTGAAGAGATTGCAAGAGGTTCCCTGCTGGCCCCTGATATGTAAGTAGCTCTTAAATTCTTAGGTCTCCAGGGGCTAGCAGGGAGACTGGGAGAGGGAGGAAGGCCAGATAACTGTCATTCTGATCTCTGAGGGGGTGGATTGAAGCAATACCACTACTTAGAGAATCCTAGTCTACGCCCTGATCCAACGCAACAGGTATCATATCTAGAGCCAACTCTGATGCCAATCTTCTTCCTCTTTTAGCCTCAGTTTCCTTATCTGAGATAAGGTGACCGAAATAACCCCAGGGTCTCTCTCTCCGTTTTATCAGACTGGGATTTCCTTGGATTCAGTTGCAGCATGTCTAGCCTACCCAGGCTCCCTCTCCACCCCTACTCCTCTCCCCTCACCTCTGCCCCACCGTGACTCCCTTCTTCAGATCAGCCAGTGACTACTTACCAGCACAGTGTGCTTGTAGGCCCGATGAATCACAATGCTGTAGCCAAATACAGTCACATCCACCTGCTTGACCCACAATGCCAATGATGGGTCTCGGTCTTCATTTTTCGCTGTGACCATGAATTTGGGGAATGAGTCTGAACTTGGCCTGCTTCCTGTGGTGCACAGGATGAGTGGGCAGCTGGTCTGGAAGTCAAAGGGGTATCCATCAAAGGTAAGATAGTGTCCATAGCCTGAGACAATGCAGGAGGCATCAGTGCGGGGCTGGCAGTAGTACAGACTGCCCCCTTCCATGCAGTATTCATCATCCTTACAGGGAATGGTCTCACAATGGACACTGTTGTCTGTGCCATTGCAATAGCAGAAAATCTGGCAGTCCTGGTCCACCCAAAAAGTCTCATTGGTAGCAAGTTGGTGCCCCTCAAAGCTGCAGCCACACTCACTCCGGGGAACACACTGGTTGCCTTGTAGGGCATAGCCCTCGTCACACTGACACCCCTCAGAGCAGCTGTCCACACAGATGGGCCCCAGGGCCAGGGTTTCACAGGTCTCTGTACATGTCATACACTCCTCAAAGTGGCTGTTCTCTGGACATTCGAGAGCTGTGGTGGGCAAGAAGACAGACATCAGAAAGGGGCAAAGGGCAGACAGTGGTGTGTGTGTGTGTGTGTGTAACACAGCAAGCACCATGAATGCTGTGTGGTTGGAACCAACAGCATCCTCATCTGGCAGGGAGAATGATTTGAGTGTAGTGAACCCTTCTCTTCCACGCTCTACCAGTACACTCAGTTTTCCACGTGAAAGATTGCAAGTCAATGAACAGGTTGTAAGTACCTGTTCACCTCAGTTCAAGAGCCTGCAATGTAGACTTTGTTTTACCGTAATCCCCACATTATAAGTGAGGAAATTGTAGTTAAGTGATTTAACTCAACTATTAAGCACCAGGGAAAGATGTTGTGTTGCAAAGGGCAAGTGCTTCCTGGGTCATGGAGCCTTAACCAGGCCCTAAACATGGGCATGTTTTTGAACATCTCTGAGCTGCAAGGGTATCTGTCATTCAACAGGAACCATATTCACCTGGCAGCATTGTTCTGAGGATTCATCCAGCATGAGCCTTACAGTCTGAATACACAGAACTCTGTATGCCCCCTTTGCTTCTTCCCATTGCACAGGGATGCATTGTGAGGGTGTCTTTACTATAAACTGGCTCAGTGTGTTGGCCTTTGTTCTCATTTCTCTGCTCCCATGGTCATCTGGACCAGCTTCATTTGAACTCTTTCCTCTGCCTCAATGGTCCACTGCAATGCCACTTCCCACACCTCCTTCAAGATTCATTTCACAGGCAGTGCAATAGCTCAAAGGGCTAATTCTCCACTTACAAGTGCAGCATCCCACATGGGGGCTGGTTTGTGTCCTGGCTGCTTCACTTCCCATTCAGTTACCTGGTTGTGGTCTGGGAAAGCAGTGAAGAATGGCTCCAAGCCTTGGGACATTGCACCCACATGGAAAACCCAGAGGAAGCTCCTGGCTTCTGGCTCCTGACTTCAGATTGGCTCAGCTCCATTCACTGCAGCCATTTGGAGAGTGAAGCAGCAGATGGAAGATCTTTCTCTCTATCTCTCCTACTGTCTGTAAATCTGCCTTTCCAATGAAAATATATTTTTTAAAAATTTATTTCAAATTGTACTTGCATCCTGAAATCTTCTTTGATAGGTCAAGTCTATTTGTCAAAAAGCATATCTCTTAAGGTGGCAACAGCACGTACTGCTCAACATGGAGTTCTGGGTATGCCTCCCACTCCTCTCTCCCATGGAGGCCAATTGCTTTGTGAAACTGGCAGGGATCAAATCCTGGAGCATAGGAGAAATTTACTTGCAAGTCTGTGTAACGTGCAGATCTGCAAAAGTGCTCACCATCTTCTAGGAAAGTAAAATTTTGCCTTTAAAACTTTCTCTGGTTCTAATACGTACCATCATTCCTTAATAGTGTTTTACAATTCAAGGACGCAAAGGACACTACAGAGAAATAAATTGTGTGGCAATAATAGCTCTGCCCACCAGTCCCGACTCAATAGTTCTGTACTGTGTACTGGAAGACAATCTCTTCTCCCCCTGGGCAAAATGACTATCTCCTTTCCCCTTAACTACAATGCCATACAGTGTTGGAGTTGAAGGCTAGTTTAGCATGGGTTATATACGTCTGTACAGAGGGATTTTCACATTTGTCTCTAACTTATGACTGTGGTAACACTGACTGCAGGTTCATAGTGACAGCAAATAACATGGCTTATTTAAATGGCTTCCATTTTATGACTTACTGTATTGTCTGAATTAGTCTGAAAGTCTGGAACATGCAGACACAGAGCAATGAAACGTCCCCCAGCCCCTGAAATCCCTCTGTAAAATTACTTAATCGGACAGCCTAGCTCTATCAACTGGAGGGCTGGTTAAATATATCTGAAAAGCAGTGGTTGTCCCACTCTAGGTTAAATGGAGGCTGTGTTTCTGATGGACAGCTGTTGCCCAATCTGCCTACTCTGCAAGACCCTGACCAGATAATTCCATGTACCTGGAGACTCGGTTAATCAAGTACTGATGCACCCATCCGCACCAGACCCATGTATGCAAAGTCCAGACAAAACACCCTAGGGGGATGTCCCAAGGGTAAAGATGACCTCCCACTTGAAGGCTTCCAATCATTCTCTAGAACAGGCACTTGCAAGCATTTCCTCCAGCTTTGCTTGCCCAGCATAGTTAGGAGCTCTTCTCAGCAGCAGAAAGAACATTAGCATTGTGCCACTCTAATTGGGCATGCATGGTGCCACCACAACTGTGCTCCAGGCAGTGCAAAGAACAATTTAGAAACAGGTCTGGCTGAGTTAGAGTTAGTACTTTTAAGGGATGGCACTGCCATGGCCTGGCAACAAAACAGATTTGACGCCCTGGCTTTGATGTGCTTACTGGGTTCCCACTGGTAAGTACAGGGCTGGAATGAGAGCCATGTTCTGGTCTAGATAAGGCTACAGCATACCTTGGTACAGTGTGGGCTGGGTCTGGGTGCACTGGACTTGGCTAGACACTAGCACCCTTTGGTGCTCATGAGGACTAGGGTAGGTATAGGGTAGGTATAGGTTTTTGCCCCTGATGAGCCGGGTTTGTGCTGTGTCTGCATGTGGACCAGCCTTGGCTGGGCTGTAATATCCAAAAATAATAACCAGAATGGGTTGAAGGCAAGTCAGGAAAGGCCATTGTTCCTGCTAGATCAGGAGGTGGACTGATTAGGGCTGGCCCATGGACCCACCCGTGTGTGTGAGATCTGACATTAGGAATGGTTCTGATGGAGGAGCCTGGGAAACTCCTCTGGCAGGACACAATGCATAGAGGTGAGCACAAGGACCATGATAGGGAGCAGCCCAGACCAGGCTAAGGAACAGTACCCAGCGGCATATATTTGGTGCAGGTCAGGGGTGAACCAGGCAGGCCCAGTTCACATTACCCGTTGGCAAATCCGAGAACCAGAAAGGTGTGTGGGTTGGGCCAGGCCCAGTTGCAACACATACCAGCGCATACTATGGCTTGGATTGGGTGCCAGCTGGGCTGGGCTAGGCTTTAGCCCCCACTAACCTGAGCTGGAATTGGGGGTGGGCCAGTCTGGGCCAGGCTATAACACCCACTGACAAAAGCTGAGGTGAGGCAGGCCATGTCAGACCGGGCTATGGCTCCCAACCAGCACACGCAAGACCTGGGGGTGGGGGTAAATCTAGGGGAAATATGGAGGGCTCCTCTACTGGAACACCACTCCCACTGGAGAGCCTGAGTTGGGATGGGGGTTGACCAAACTGGGCAGAACTACAACACCTGTGGGCCGCATGTGAGCTAGATCAGGCAAAAGCCTGGATGGGTTGATGGTTTCTACTGATGCAAGCATAAATCAGAGTGGGTGAGGGTTGGTGGGGCTTTGCTGCAGCATGAGCTGCAAGACCTGACCACCTGGTAGATGCTGGCACTGGGGACTAATTCCGTCAAGCTAAACTGCAGAACCACCTGGAAAGTGCATGATCCGGGAGTGGGCCCAGGAGGGAAATAGTGGGCACCTCCCTCTTAGGTTACCATTCCCACCAAAGAGCATGAAAACCAGGACTGGAGCAGACATGGCTGGACAGAATGGTACCCACCAGCATGTGTGGGCTGGATAGAGGGCCTGGTTGGGTTGAACTAGGCTTCAATATCCATTTACATGTAGGAGAGCTGAATGGAATGTGGGACAGACTGGACCAGTCTGCTGTACATACTGGCAAGTATGGGAACCAGGGCAGGGGTGGGCCTGGTAGGGGTTAGTGTAGGTTGCCTCAACCAAGCTGCAGCTCCCACTGGTTTGCGTGAGGACCTAGTGTGTGGTGGGTGCAACACCCATTGGTTCATGTAGAAGACAGGGCTGGAAACAGAACTGACCCAGCAATTGCAACTACCCACATATGCATAAGCTGGTTGGGGTGACAGACTATGCCAGACCCTGTACTGACATATACATACAAGAATCAGATCTGGGATCCCCTCAGACGAAATTTCTTTGTGGATCCTTTGAGAAATAGTAGACAGCAAATCCACGTGTATGTGGAGGATACGCAGTCTATTGAAACCTGCAGAGGACACCTGGCACTATAACAGGATGGAGGACAAAACAAATCGATATCTGCCCCAGCCATGTGTTGGCAGTGAAAATCTGAGCTAACAGAGTCTTTAAGGTAGACTGGGTCAGCCAGTGGATTCTGGAGAGATTTCATTGTGCTTGGAATGGTGGGACTGGCAGCAATTCAGAACTGTTGGACTATCAAAACCACTTGAGCAGGACCCTCAGAGCATGCCCCATGTTGGGGACCTGGAGTGGATTGAAGGCTGGGTGGGGCTTCTCCCTTTATTCTCCCTTTACCTCAGATTTAGAAAAAAAAAATAATAATAATGTAGAAACAGTGATCTTACCCACTTTCCTGTAGCCCTTGACCCTTTGTGTAAAGATTATCAAAATTAAAAAAAAAATACATTTGATATGGGGGCAGGGGGAGATGTGGTAATCCTGCATCCAGTGAAACACACTGAAAAGCTGGTATGAAGGCAGGTATAGGAATTGGATAAACCAGGAACAGGACAAGAGGATGCTGGGAAATGGAGTGAAAAGGATTTGGGAAAGTATTAGAATGTCTCCTTAGATGCAGTGGTCAACAGGAGCCATGGAGATTCTGACTCTGCTGACTACTGTTCCCAGGATCCCAGCTTTAGGATTCTGTTTTTCCTTCTCTCTTTCAAACAAATGTTTTGTTTTAAATAACAGCATAGTAATTGTGTGTGACTTACACACATCCTCCACATATTTTAAATCATCTCTAGATTATATCTAATGTAATATAAATAGCTATTATACTGTATTGGTTCAGAAATAATGACAAGAAATTCTGCCATGTTTAGCACACAGTTTCAAAATGACATTTCGAAAATATTATTTTCAATCTACAACTGGTTGAATCCCATAGACACAGAACCTAAAGATAGAGATGGCCAACTGTAAGCAGTACACCCTTGAAGTCAATCCCACCAGAAGGCATAGTGTGGCATCAATTCCTCCCCCGACAGGGCACCCCCCCCCCCCGCCGCCAACACAGCCTGAACTTACGACAGAAGTCATAGGTGCGCCAGGGGCCCACTTCCACATCAGCATTCTTGCAAGCGCTGGCGTACCGGGCCACCGAGTCACAGAGTTCTGATTCATTACCTCCACTCTGGCAGAGGCGGAAAAGGCAGGTGCGGTAGTAGGCAGTGACATTGACCACACCGTGGCACTCCAGAAAGGAGCTGTTGGAGGGGTCGTTGATGATGCCACACCTGGAGCGGCTCCGATAGAACTTGAGCAGTTCTGAGTCGTTGTTGCAGGCCTTCAACAGGTCCCCACACTCCCCATTGCAAATCTCCTCAAAAGTTGTCCAGCTTTCCAGGAACACTGCCAGGTTGTCTGTGCACTTGCCATTAGGGAGGCAGAACTCATCACTGGCATTTGCGTTGAAGAAGCCACACAAGCCCCCGGTGCAGTTGAAGTAGGCGGTGGACAGCCGGATGTACAACAGGCCTACGTCTGAATACTGCACTGTCACCACGCCCTTGGACTCTACAGTTGTACTGTTCTTGTTTCGGTAAATGTCCAGCTTCCCAGAAGGATGGAAAAAAGGTAATTCCACTTCATGACCATTTAACTGGAAAAAAAAAAAAAGCAAAGCATTATCATTAATTACAGAGACACACAGTTCCCACCACTTTCTAGGTTGTTCTGTCCTGTGATTAACAGCATTTTGACAAAAAGCGAAAAAACTGTTGTTTGATGGGAAGCACTCAGACAGAGCTTACATTGTCAAGCATTTCTAGCTTTCATTCGTGAATCTCATTTGGCCTTAATTTGTGTGTTGAAAACCCTAAGCAAATTAAGCAAAACTGAAATGTGAACAGTAATCATTGCAGAGGTTTTCTTCTTGCTGCCCAGCATCTCCACTTCAGTGGCTTCTCCCAGACAGCTCCCCTTCTACCTACCTTTCTGGCCCCTCTTTTACCATTTAATGCTCAGTCTTCCCATGCTCCAACATACCTATGATGAGCCAGTTGTGTATCGCCTATCTGGCTCTCTCTACTCCTTTGATAAGTTCGTCTCTACCAATGCATCAGTGGGAGTGGAAACACTCCTTTCAGTTCATGGCTGTGCATTTTATAATCTCTCTGGACACTCAACTATGTTGACTTTTCTTTCTCTACACAAGAGTCGTGTGATACCACTGAAGTACATCCTGGACTGGGAGAAAGGGGTTCCTCTCCCCCACCACACACACCCCCACCAACAACTAGCCCTTTGGGAAAGAAAGAATTGTAGCAGATGATTTCTAAGACTCTTTCTAGAACCGTGCTCTACCTGCATGGGCGCCTAACGACAGGCACTTTAGAACAGATCCAAGAGGTGAAAACACCCCCTGCATGACCCCATGTGGATTCCCAGTCACTGGAAGAAGTTAGTTTAATACAAAATTTAAGAGCACAGACAGTGGAGCCAGGCTGCAGGAGCTTGAATCCTACTTCGTGGCTGTGTGTCCCTGTGGACGTGACTTTAACTTCTCTGCGTCTCAGTTTTCTCATCTGTTACAGTGAGGATATGATCTTGTACGACAAGCTCAAGTGTGACACGCTTATGCAGGGACTTGGATGGCTCTTGGCACACAGGAAGTGCTCCACCAGTATTTGCCGTGAGGGAGAGCTACTCATGCTCTATCTAACTGGGAAAATTCCAGCATCATTCCATGTCTCCGTGACAGAATCTTATTCCAGGCACATGCTCCCATTTCAGAGCCATTTCCTTCCTGGAATCCACTCCTGGGCAGAAGCAGATGGGCACACCTGTAGAGAACGGGAAGCTCCTTCAAATGACGAGATTCATCCGAAAACCCTCAAAGGGAGCGAGAACTCTTACCTTGACTTCCGAAGCCCCAACTCCTCCAATCTTGACCTCCTGGTCAGCCACGAGGATCCGGAGGCCTCGCAGCCAAGCAGGCCCTGCATCAGGTTTTTTCTTGTTAATATCGATCTCCAGGTAGTCTGGTCGCTCCGGGCAGGTCTTCAGGAGGGTGTAGGAAAACTCGGAGGGAAAAGCATAGGCGGCACCGTCAAAGGTGTGCAGCACCTGGTTCTGGTTGAGCAAGCACACGGTCTCCCGCTTCGGGAAGCAGCCCTGGTAGCCGTCCTCCACCGCGCACACCTCCCCGCTGCGGCAGGTCTTGTTGAAGCAGTAGACGTCCCCGCCTTCCTCACACAGGCACTGCACTGTGCAGTTGGCCGTGGCCCAGAAGAACTCCCCCATGGAATAGTAGTGGCCGTCAAAGTCACAGCCGCACTTGTGCAGTGGAACACACTGACTGGTGCTGAGCACGAAGCCCTCGTTACACTCGCAGCCCTCTGTGCATGGTGTGGCGCAGTTCTGAGAAGCTGTCAGGTCCGAGCACGTGTCCGGACAACTGCTGGTACACACGGAATAGTGGCTGAAGTTCGGGCACTGCACCGCAGACACTGACGCAGGGAAAGGAAGAAGAGTGTGGTCACAAGGTGAATGGACCCCAAGCGACAGAGGCCACGCATCCAATGAGCACAGGCCCCACGAGGAAAGAAGACTCCTGGATGATTTAATTCTGAGAGTGAGGGTCAAGCTGAGACTCAAGGTGGATCTGAAAAAGCCAGCTCCCTTACATCCCTATGACTACTGAGAAACTGAATTGTATTTGAATATAATCATCTTGACTGAGGGTAAACTTCAGGTTGCTATCTAACTTGACAAGACCCAGTATGGGTTTCTGACTTGTTAATCCGCAATCATCAGCATGTTTTAAAGTCTTCAACTGATGAATATAAAAGTTGATCTGGGTTAAAAGAACATTGCCCTTTCCTAGGAGGAAATAAATCCAGCTTTAGGGAAAATGGAAAACGCGGCTGCTAGAGGCGTAACTTGGAAAATACGAAATTTCTAAGTGACAGGTAATTAAAATACACAAGAGGAACCAAGGGAGAACCACGGAGATGAATTCTCTAGAGCATCAAGATAGAAGAAAGAACCCCAGCTCACTGCAAAGATTGTGTGCCTGTTCCTCCAGAAGAATGGGTGGAGATTAGAGACCTTTTGAATGACTTTCTTGCCTTAAATAAGAACATCCAAGTCCACACAAATGTCTGAATCCAGCTTTCTAGATAAAACAGAATTCATCCACTAGCATCAGAGAAGGGATAGAAATGTAGAAGATGGCACAGTAGTACCATTAGAAAAAAATACATAGCTATTAGAGGGACAATTTGACTTAGGTGATTTGGATGCTCTTGGAGTCTATAAGGATCAAAGAGAAGCCATGTTCAATTGCAACTTGAAACGTGATATGGCTGCTCTGGGCATAATAAAGGCTGTTCAATCCCAAAGCCAGAAAAATACACTATGGTTCAGTAGCTTGACCAATATATTAAGATTTGAATCTGATACGTGGTGATTTTATGTGAATCAAACCTATAGTTACAGAGGAAAAGATTTCCTCTGGTGTTGCGCTTTAAAGAAAGTGCTAAATCTTCTCACCTCCACAGCACACTCAAATGCGTGGGTTATAATTTTCTGTTTACTCATGTAGAGAAAAACTAAAGAAATTGTTTGCATTTTATTTGGGTCATTGTAAAATTTTAGATAAACAAGAAAAGCAGATTGAAACAACAGTGAAAGAGGAGCTGGCGTGAGAATCAACGGATAACAAAATGCTTAGTCCAAAGATGTAATTCAAAATAGCCTGCAATCCCCCCCCGAGTTGGGGGCTTTTCCTAATGATTCCTAGCACTTCAGGAAAAGGGAATTCTGAACTAGTAGACTGCACTCCTTTCTGCCGCCCTCCCTTTAAACAGCAACAGTGGATCAGTGAAGGACATAACCCCTAAAGAGTCAGAAAGTTAGGAATAAAGAAACAAGAGCAATGGCTGGAGCTTCCACCTGCAAGGTGGATTATTTTCCCAAAGTCTAATTTTTGTCACCTAAGCCAGCATCTGCATTACTCAGCAGCCACAAATGTTGCTCCTCCTGGAACTTCCTCACTCGATTCTGGGTTGCCATCCCTGCAATGGGGCCTTTCTCTAGCCAAGTGCACCCTGCACACCTTGCCTATTTCCTGTTTGCAATCTTGGGTAGGAGAGAAGAATGAAGATCCCATCATCATTCATTGTTTAATTTTGTGTGATATCTCAGCCTTATCCCACTCTCAGTACAGGAGTCTTACCCAAGACATTTGGAGGATCCCTGGAACCCAATCCCTGCCCCCTACACAAGAGGTCTTTCGTCCAGAATCGGATACTAGCTTACCACACCCAGTCTGGATTCGCCAGTCTCCAATTGGGATGCCAAGGGCTTGGCACACAAGTGCGTAGGCTTGGATGGCTTGACAGAGAAGTGTGCCATTGTCCCTCACACTGCACAGGTCATAAACACAGCTGTGTACAAAGGCTGTGGGGTCCACAACGGTGCCACACTCCCACAGGGGGCCATCTGTCTTGTTGAGGAAACCACAGTAGTCGGAGCCAAAGTAGAGGGCTTCTGTGGCGGCATCGCACTGGGTGCAGTTGTCCACGCAGCCTGAGTCACATTTCCAGTCAGCATGGTAGACACGCCAGCTCTCTCCCAGATCCAGCACAGACATGGCTGGCCTGCCGTCTGGGCGGAGGAAGTCATCCAGTGGGTTTTTATTGTAGTTCCCACAGAGCCCACAGGTGGAGTTTATGTAGGATCCTGGGATGGAAATGGATGCGTAGTGCTGGCCATCAAATGTCACTAAGAGTCCAAAATCTGTTTCCACAGCAGTAGACATGCCACTTGGGTAGATTTTCACCGCCCCCAAGTCTAAGGTGACGGGCAAAGAAGTCACTAGGTCATTAACCTGCCAACAACAGTAACAGCAGAGGGCAGATGAGCAGGTACTGCAGACAATGGATTCCAGCAGAGGTCAGAAAAAGAAGGCAGAGCAATTCAACGTTCCAGAGAGAATGGCCACCCAGAATGTCCAGGTTCCAGTGGGCTTACCTCTTACCAAGGTAATACCCTAGGGGAGCATTTTTAATAGCAGTTGGTTGCAGACAGGGCCTGAGCACTGTGCATTTGAGCTGAGATTTCTGGTGTCACTGCAGGCTCCTCTTGTCAATCCTTCCTAGCTGTCTCTAAGCTAGCTTTAAGTCTTCTCTCACAAGACAGTCAGCTGGTGTTTCCTCCAGATAGCCATCCTTTCAAGTCTCAGCTTAGCCACAACTTTTCCACTACCTTTTCACTACCTTCAGCCTTCTCTCATCCTCCAGCCAGCAGAGTATGTGCTGCATCAGTGGAACACAGCTTTGTACTTTTGTGTGTTTTACCCTGCCCCTTCCTGGCAGGAGGACTGACTCAGCCATTCAGCAACAAGTTTGAACACCTGCTGAGTACCAAGCACTATGTCAGGAACTGAGAAGTAAAGGCTTTTGAAAATTTAATTGGCCCTGCCCCTCAAGGAGCTCTCTGCCTGCCAAAGAAGAGAAACACTGATAAATATGTAGTGTCCTGTTTTAAATGCGAATGAATAGATGATGCAATAGGAGAACAGTAAAGGAGCACTTAATCCTGCCTAGGGGAGTCATAGAAGGCTTTTACAGGCAGTTAAGTCTGACCTGGGTCTTCAGAGATAAACATGAGTGTCCAAGGGAAGAGAGAAGAGCAGGGGTTAGCAGCAGCTACATGAGGTTGGGGAGCAATGACCCAGGTTCCTGACTGCAGAGGGCAGGGGGGCTGGAGATAAACTGGAGACCCAGGGAGATTCATTCATCCCACCAGTGCTGAGCGAAGTTCCCAGATGTGGGGATTATCAACAAAGGAATGAGACAAAAATCCTAACTCGTGGAATTTATACATTAGCTGGGGAAGCCAAGAACAAACAAAGCAGAAAATAAAATATGAAATTACATCAGATTATTTTACATAGCAAAATAAATCAGGAAATATGGGACAAAAGCACCAAGAAAAAAACGATTTCTGCTCTTCAACAGGGAAGGGACAGGACAGGCGCTGTGCTAAGTGGTGAAGCAGTTAAGTGGTGCTGGGGATGCCCACATTCCATGCCGGTTCAAGTCTTGCTCCTCTGCTTCTGAGCCAGGTTCATGCTAACATGCCTGAGAGCACTGGAAGATGGCTCCAGTACATGGTACTCTGCTGCCCATGTGGTAGATGCAGAGGGATCCCTGGCTCCTGGCTTCAGCCTGATCCTTCACTAGCTGTTACGTACATTTGAGAAGTAAACCAAGAGTTCTCTCTCACTCTCTCTCTCTCCCCTCCCTCTCTTTCTTTCAAGTGGAGGAAAATAAATATTTTCAATAACAATTTAAAAATACAGAGGGGACATTTTGAGAAAGTAACCAATGCTTAGGTAGAGGGGACAGCAAGCCCTTAGGTGGGAACTGGACGGTGTGCTCCTGGGAGCACAAGGGCCAGTGTGGCTAGAACAGAGAGGTGAGACAGGGCAGAGGTGGACAGTGTCAGAGAAAGAATAGTAGTCTGTCAGCCAGCCTAAGGACCTTGGCTTTGACTCCCAGCATGACAGAATGCCAAGGAGATGTTGGGAGTAAGGATCGACAGGATCTGGCCTCTGCTTCAAAGACTCACTGGCTTCTGTGTTGAGAACAGATCTTGGAGGGCCTTTTAAGCCTTGTTAAAAACAAAACAACAAAACAAAACAATGCTTGGATTTCTATTCTGGAAGGAATGACATTGTAAGATCTGCATTTTATAAAGCCTCTTCTGGCCAGTGTGAAGGACTTATTGAAGTAAGTCAAGGTTATGTGAAAAGAAATCAGACCAGCAAATGTGGCAGGAAGAGTCCAGGGAGTGATAAGGGTGAAGAACTAAGCTCAGTGCAGACATGGGGAATGGGAGCTGAGCTGTGCAACCCACTCAGTTTGCCATAGAGAGTTTGTGGTGGGCAGGAACTCTTACTTAGCTCATAGAAGTAGGGGACTTGATAAGCCTTCCAACAGATAGGGTCCATTTGGCTTGCCACACTAACCATACCAGGCTCCTATAAACACATGGACTGGGATGAAATGAACAGTCCCAGAACGTTTCTCTGAGGGTTTGACCATAAGCGCGCTTGAATTTCCAGGTTACCTTGGACCCATACTGGTTTCCAGCACATGGAAAGGTCAATGGTCTTACCTGCTACCATGGTTGCCACTTTCCCAGTGGTCCAGGAGCTAAGATGGCTGGTGTTCAGAGCACTGTTACTGGGACAGATGTCACACGCAGCACTCCATCCCCAGATTAGTCATTGACCTTCACCAGCATGGCCCTTAGCAGTCCACGCATAGCGACATAGGCTTATTTCACCTTGCACCTCAAAACTCTTTCAGCCTCTGCCCATTCCTCAATCCCAGTGTGGCTACCATGTTTTTAAGTATTTGTTCAGACAGTGCACCACCCCTCTTAACTCCTAGTACCAATCTCCTGTCAGTCTATTTGGCTTGCTGTAACAAAACACCATAAACGGGGTAGCTTAGAAATAACAGAAATTTATTTCTTACAGTTCTGGAGATTGAGAAGTCCAGGATGAAGACATTAGTGGATTTGGTGCCTTGAAAGGGCCAGCTTTCTGGTTCACAGATGGCACCATCTCACATGGTGGCAGCAGCAAACATGCTTGTCTTTTTTGTAAGGACACTAGTTCCTTTCACGAGGACTCCACCCTCAGGACCTACCCAAGTTCCCCATGTAAAACCATAACCTTGAGAGTTAGGATTCCAAAACCTTGGGAGACACAAACATTCAGATCATAGCAATGGGAGAAGGGAACATGAAAGAGGAGCCTTAAGAAAGAAAGCATCCTCAGAGAACTAGAAATGGAGAGGAAAACCCAAGGAGTTGGCTAATTGTCATTGTCACCTAACATAAAGATTAGCCTACAGGGATGAGAAAGGCCAATCTTTAAGGCAGGTCAGCTAGCAAGAATACTGAACAAGTCCTATCCACTGCTCTGTGTTAGAATGCAGGAAGCGAAGTCTCTCCATGGTTGGTGTGATTTTAAATGCCAAATACATCCATGCCCGAGCAAAGCTTTATGTGTCTCAAAGAAGAGACACATATGGGATATTCTGCCTCTGGATGTCCCTCTGTTCTGTCCAATTCTGGCTGACTATACATCTGGGTTGCCTGCAATTGCCAATAATGCACCCCTGGACATCTTCCTTCCTGTCAGTGTCTGCTCTCCCTTGCATTCTCATCATAGATCATAAAGCCACTGGAGCAGGAGCTCCTGGAGAAGTCCTTCTCACCCTCCCACCCCCACTCCTACTTCTAGTTGCATTCTATAAGCCAGTCCTTAGTCCTTCTTACAACTGAGAAAACAGGATTGGAGCTGGTGTCCCTTGCAGGTAGGTGTCCAGGTCTGCCTCCCACCAGACTATAAAGCCATCTTTTCTCCTCAGCTCCAAGTTGTCCCTATGGCAGCATCAAATGGACGCAAATACATCTGCTAGGGCAGTCCAGGTGCCCCAACTCCTAGACACAACTGCCCCCATCTGACTGATGGAGACATCGAAGTGCATGAATGTCACTCAGCTGTCAGGATTCACTCAGGGATGGGAAAAGTCCCAGCCTGGAATCTGAAATCTGAGCTTTACCTCACCATGTGCCAGTTGACTGTGGCACCTTTGTCCTTGAAGCAGACAAAAACGACTTGGGTTCATGCAGGGAAGATATAAGAAAGCAGGTGCTGTTTAAAGTAGATACTAATATATAGCAGCATTTTGTTATCCTAGCTTTCTTTGGGGCCAATTAGCACAGAAAATCCCAAACTGTTGGTTATTTGAGAGCAGTGTGGGAAAATCCATAGGCAGAACCCAGCTCCCAATTCCAGCCTACAGAAACAGGGTAGGAGGAAGGGAGGGGGTCTATGGTTCGGCAGAACAGTTCTCAGTTGCCATTCCCAGCCTTTCACAATGTGACTGGAGAAGTCAGTTCCCTCCCAGGCACCCCGGACTCTTTCTTGCTCTCCAGCCCTCTCGTGCCTGTCCCCATGTCACCCTGGGTAGGACCTCTGCTGTCCATGGAGCCACTCTCCCCAGCAGAGCAGGTGTATTCAAAGATACTTGGAAACCATTTGCCAAAGAAAAAGGAAGCCATTGTTAGCTTGCAGTTGGAGTCACATAACCTTTTCTTTCTGAAACATTTACATTCAGAGCCACAGCTCCTGTCGCTACAGAAAATTGAGGAATCCGTGCCCTGCGCCTGGACGATGGAACATAGCCACGCAAAATTAGCAGAGCTGCTGGGCCTGAAAGAAATGACAGTGTCCCTTTCTTTCTAAAATAAATACACCCCCCAAAATCTGTGTGAGTGAAAAAGAATTTTAATCAAAATGGAAAGCGGGAATACAGCAGGAAGCTTTCTGTCTCCAGTGCTGATGTCAAACCTATCCTCCCCATAATTCAGGCAAGTCGAGGAAAGCTGGTGAACATGTTGCTAGCCTGAAATGCTAGCTTCTATCTAAACGGATAAGTATAGTGCTCACCAACACAATATAAATTTAAATTGGAAGAACTCCAAATTTCTGTACCCGAAATCTTAGCTTGATTTGATATACAGAGCTATCCCTAGAGAGACTAACCAAATAACAAGCAAATTGGCATTTCAGCTGCAGTAATAGCTCACTTTCCTAATTATGAGACTGATAAGCTACACAGACCTAAGGAAGGCAGAGCCAGAAAAAGTAGAATTAGTTCCCTTGTCCTGGCTTTTGTTGGACATGCTACATCAATTAAAACTACAGCACATTTTTTTTAAGAGAGAAATCCCTGCCTCAGCATTGGTTCTGGTTGGTGATCTTGGCAATGACCTCCATACATGGGGATTAAGGACTTCAAGGGTTGTAGTGATCAACCCCGTGTGGTCCTGGTAATTATTGCCTGAATAAATACATTGTTTGCAACAAGGTCTTTGTTAACATTGTGAAAACTGGGGCCTCCACCAATTGAGTAATTGCTAGCGGGTTTTGGCATGTTTTCTCTCTCTCTCTCTCCATCTCCCTCTCTCTCGCCAACATTCCTGCTTGAAATGCAGGTGGACAAGGACAGGAATCATTTGCATACGCTAAACAGGCCAGCAGAGACCCATGTTTCTCTCCATTATTCCAGACAGGGATGGGAGATTCTGATAGAGGATGTCTAGACAAAGCTTTCATGGGACTTTCCTATCCACAGCTTCATAAAGGACGTCAGCGTGATAGATCAGGTGCTGATGCAGGGAGTCCTCAGGGGACATCAACCGGGGTGAAAGGATCTCTAGATGTGAAGCAACAGCTCTTGGGCCAACAGTGTGAGGTGGAGTGACGGGGACTCATCCAAGGCTATACTGAATTGCGAGTTCATGCTTCAGGTTTGCACCATCACCAACAAAGCCAGGTCCGTGGGAAACGAAGCTTCCCTTTTGGGTTACTTATGAGCTGTGTGCATGTGTGTGCATGTCTCCCAGTGTTCATGAGGACAATGGAACTCTAAATGTGCTTCAAAAAATAATAGAAAAAACATGTTGTGGGACAGGTTAAGACAGCTAACTACTCATACAAGTCTAATTTGGTCTAGTTAAGCATTCTGCAAGATATTCATCACATAGGAAGACTCTTGCATCCTTTTAGTACTTAGGGAAAAAACCACAACAGAACCAGTAGAAGCAGGGATGTACAGCTTCTCTATCTCTCCCTGAATGATGGAGAGGGCCTCACCTTGACTTTCCCGTAGCTCCCTTTGGGGATGAGGATCTTGTAGCCGTTCACTTCCACAGAGAGTTCCTTCACCCAGGAGACTGCAGAGCCTCCACGGTGTTCATTCTTTGCCTCCACACTGAAGAAAGGAAGGGTGGAAGTCTGCAAACACTGCCGGGCCAGGAGGTAGGCACAGGAGCCTTGGAAGTGGAAGAGGAAGCCATCAAAGGTGTGGTAGTGTGGTTCCCCAAACACCACGCATGTGCTGGTCTCCACTGGGCTGCAGTAGAAGAATTTGCCTTTGGGTTCGCACACCTCATAGGGGCTACAGGAGGCCTCCTGGCAGTAGATCTCATTGTTGAAGTCCAGACAGCGGCACTTGATGGTGCAATTCAGATCATCCCAAAACACCTCCCCTCGCCGAAGGAACTGTCCTGGGGAATAATGACATCAGAGCCAACATTTATTGAGCACTCATCCTTCGTGCCAGACACTGGGTTAAATGGCTCACTTCCATTACAGGAGGTCCCTGCAGGACAGGTGTTGTCAGCACATTAGACAAGCAAGGAAACTGAGGCTCAAGAGCAATACATTTATCCAATACCACTCACCGGAAGCCAGATTCCAAGACTGTCTGAATCAAGTCTAAGCTCCTGAACTTAGCTCCATGGTTGATGGGTAAGCCCATCCCAAGGAAAGGTACAGGGAATTTCGAGTCATTGCAGCAAGGGTGTTCTGAAATAAGACCCAATTTATCCAAGTAACTGAGCAATCCTGGATATTTATTACCTCATGTGGTCATTCATCCAAATGACATTTGTTAGGGGCCAGAAAAGGTCAACAGCACATATCAAGCATCAGAGGCACAAATAGAAATCCAAAGCTCCCTGGCAAGATTCTGGAAAGGGCAGACCACTTGCTTGGCCACATTCAATGTCTTGTAAATCCTGCAGATGCTGCTCAGGCAGAACTTGAACAAAGGGTCTTGTCTCCCTTTCTCAGCCCTGTCCAAGTCCATCACTCCTCTCTCTTTATCCCTTGGGCACACTTCACGACAGAGTCTAGGTTGGGAGGAGAAGAGTGAGGTGGGGAGAGGGGAGTAGCTTTAAAAGGAGTATCAACTTATAAATATTCATTAATTACTTGGTAGTTGTTCTGACTTTAAAACTACTTCTAGGGGCTGGTGGTGTAGTAGATAAAACCTCTTCCTGTGGCCCTAGCATCTTAAATGGGTGTTGCTTCAAGTCCCAGCTGCTTCACTTCCAATCCAGTTCCCTACTAATGAGCCCAGAAAAATAGCAGAAGATGGCCAAACTGCTTAGGCCCCTGATACCTACATGAGAGACCAAGAAGAAGCTCTTGGATCCTGGCTTAGGATTGGCCCAACTCTAGCCATTGTAAGTGTTTGGGAAGTGAAAACAGCAGATGGGAAATCTCTGTCTCTCCTCTATTTTTAAATAAATAAATAAATAAATAAATAAATAAATAAATAAATCTAAAACTGAGTTTCCTAAATAAATAATCTCCTTTACCTATATAAAAAAAAAAAGACTTTGTAATTTGCAAGCTGCTAGCATCAACTACTAATCATCAATTGAAACAGAAACTCAGGGCTATTGAAGGTTGGGGTCAAGAGAACAGAGTAGTGACCAAATGGTCACAGTTAGTTCCTAAGAAAACTGACCCAGCATCCATGTGTTCCATTTTTCCTAACCTGCGAAATGAGAACAGGGCTGTTCCCCATCCCCGCTTTATGAGGAATAGAGTGCTGCTACACGCTGACAACACTGACAGAGATAAAGGTACTAACAAACCAAGAGTATCTGAAAAGGAAAGTGCCAAAACACAGCTTTAGAAATGCAACTACTGCCGTGTATCAGCATGGAAAAGATTTGAAAAAGGATTGGTTAAGATTGCTCAGGGTTTTAGACCTCAGTGTAACTGGTAACTAGCACAGGGCTGCGAGGCAGAAGGCATGACTGCCACCTCAGTGCTATTCAGATCCATCCAACAGGACCATGTCTCAGCAGCCGATGATGTTTTCTGCCTGTTGAGAACAGAGCTTCAACATGAGGTAATAGATTTATTCATATTCCCACTAGATCACATGCAGCAGCCCTGAAAACAGGCCCTCAGTCCTCCACACACATTGGCACTAATGCAGAGCTGCATGTATTATAACAGCCTCTACTCAGTATCATTTCCAGTCTCTACTTTTTTAGGATTCCAATAAATGATAGGAAAATATCCTCAAAGGCAAGAGGTTTAGACCCAAAGGTAGACTCTCTGAGATGATTCTGTTTGTGAAATGATGGTATAATAAGCAGAACTGCTTCCCCTGCCCTAACCCAGGACAAATCACAATCTCATTAGATTGATCTATGTCTGGTGGCATAGGAAAATGCACAGCAGTCTGGAGAAAGGTATTGAATTTGTCCCCTATTGGAAACCCAAGCCCATAATTTAGGGGGAGGCTGAAGTGAGCAGTCTGTGCAGAACTGGCATCTGATCAGCCCCATGGTTCTGTTAAGCCAGTAGTTCCCATTGTCACCAATTTCATTCCCAGGACTTGAGTGACAGACTGTCACTGGGCATCTAAGTGACATGTACACGGCAGGTCAGCTGTGTGATGTTAGAAATAAAGGGAGGCAGTGTTCATGTTATAGTTTGTAACTTACCAGGACCCTTGCCCTGGCTACAGGGGGAAGGAGATAATGTGGTGTGGGGTTGATATCACTCACAGACCTTAAATGAAGCTGTATTTACACTTTTGAGGGGAGGAGGACACCATCACAGAAATCCTAGTGAGCTTTGCTATTGGATTCTCTCCTATCCAGTTTAATAGCAGCTAAACTCGTATAGTTGTTATTCTGAATATGGCAGACTCCACTAAGCCCACAGAGGTAAAGGATGCCCACACAGCTCATCTTCACACATGACCTTTCCTTAGAGCAGAGGCAGAGGTCTAATAAGTCTGCCCACAGTGCAGGAAACGGGAGCACAGAGCATGGGCATTTCAGATCATGTGAACATAGCTTTTCCTGTAGATTAAACAAGTTGAAGCTGAGCCAAGAGTGAAGCCTCAGGCTTCTCGGGGCTGCCAAAGCATGCAGAGCATCTGAGGAGAGGAAGAAACCTCGACCTCCAGTCCAAACTCTCTTAGAGATCCAGAACAGCAGGGTTTTCCCTTATACATCTGTGGCATCCTGCACTCATAGCTGCGACCAGACTCCATCTGTTATGTCTTCAGATCTCCTGGGACTGTCTCTTTTACCAAAGTGCTGTTACGGGCACTAAAGCACCCTCAACACTAGTTCAAAACAGAGTGGTTAGCATCTCACTGGGGCTCCCAAAATGTTCCTAGGGGTAATTCAATTGCTGAATGGGTAGGTGAGTAGATGGGTTGGAAGAGATGAATGAAGGGGAACATGTATGGCTGATTGGATAGGTGGATGGATGGAAGGGTAGGGGTGAGCATGTGCATGGATGGGTGGGTGTTTGCATGCACAGCTGATTAAGTAAGTAGATGTATAGAGGAGATGAAAGGGTAGGGTGAATGTATGAATGGATGAGTGGATGACTGTATGACTGGTTGAGTAAGCAGATGAGTGGAGGGAGTACACAGAAGGGTAGTGGTGAGTATGTGCTTGGATGAATCGACCGGTGGATAAATTCCTACTTATTACTATGTCCTTTCCTGCAAGCAAAAAAAAAAAAATTGATGGTAATCCTGTTTTCTAAATGTTTCTAGACACTTAAGAAATAAGAAATCTATAAATGAGGATGAGCCTGTGAGCACCTAGTGCTATTCTGCACATCCAAAGAGTTTTTGATGGTTCAAAAAGACTCTAGACTTTGGGTGCCATTGTAAAGGAAGCCCACCGATGCTCAATTACAGGACGTTGACAGAGACCTAGGGCCAGCCTGGATTCCCCCCAAGTTCCTGTGTGTTTGGCTGCTGCGGGGAGGATGTCAGAAGCAGTTACCCAAAAGACGATGTTACTGTTTCTTTCTCTTTCTTGCTCGTACTAGCAAAGACCAATTTACCCTTGAAGGGACTTGGCTGTGCTCCAGATTCACCCACTCCTGTGGATTTACAAAGTGCAGATGGCAGAGCAAGAGTAAAAATGAAAAGAAAAATTTGCAGAGAGGCGGAGATTGGGGAAGGAGGGTGAGGAGAGATGAGAACAACAGGAGGGCTCCCTTCTGTCCCTCCTGCTGAGACATCATTCAAGGGCCTAGTCCACTGCACAGTTGTTCAGGATGGATCAGTGCATTCACACCCCAGGCAGGGGCTTCTCCAGCCACCCTGTAGCAAGTGCACCAGCTCCAGTGTGATGAATGTGCATGCTAAAATTACCTTGATCTCCATTACCCAGCTGAGAGATGTCAAAAGAGTAAGGCATCAGGAACAAGTCCGCCCCCATGGCTGCAAACCTCACCTGTCAATCTAAACCAAACAAACCCTACCTTGTTCTAGAGAAGAAAGAAAAAATGCTGTACCCCTAGAAGTGCAGCCATTGGCTGGGTCAATTTCCTTCCCGTCGACTTTAAATGCCCAGCGGCCTGGAACATTGACGTTTGTGGTCTCTTGGATATTCACAATCTCAGGGGTTCTTGACCCTGGAAGGCTGAAGAAATTGGTGAGGTTTCCACCATTAAATCCTGCCTGGAATAGGAAAGGGGGAAAAAAATGTTTGAGCAAATCACACCCTCCTTGGCTAGCTGGCCCAATCACCTCATTTCCTGGAGTCTTGGGTGCTGCCATTGCACATAACAAAATCCTGTCTGGTTCATCCCACCGCTGCGTTAAACTATTAAAGATGGGTAAGACTAGCCCCTTAATGCACCTGCCAGATCAAACAAGCTTCTCTAGTTAGGAGCTGCTGGCAGGATTCCCTCCAGGGTGCTGCATAACAGAAGCAGAGCACAGTGATTCAAATCTGCAGGAGATTGGGAAGCCTTGGGAGAGCACTGCCTACCTGAGCCATCACTCCGCCAAGACCTGTCAGTGGGTCCCCGCCGCTTGCCGTCCCAGTGGTCCAGTTGATTTCATAGTAATTGAAGAGTGTGAATGTATAGGAGCCATCAGACACCAGGACAGCCTGGAAGGTGTTCACCTGCAGGAGTGAGAGGGATGGTCTCATAACTCATGGTCCTTGAACCCTGAGAACCATCTCCCCTTCCCCTGTGCCTCCCCACCCCCAAGCACCCTGAGCTGCTCTGCAGACAACTCTCACCCGCTGCTTTCTCTCTGAATTTGCTCCCGCCTCTAGTGGGAAAAGCAAAACATGTGGAATTGTGCTGTTAAAAAAAAATCCCCTGAGATAAACCTAGGGTCTGACTCAACCAGCCCCTGCTCCTAATCTGTAATTTACACCACAGAGAATTCACTCTGTTAATGTGATAACACAAGAGCACCTATAGATGGCAGCATGAGAATAAACTATAGGCAACATTTCCCCCAGGCTCAGGTTGCAAATACCTGTTCCCACAGCTGGGTGGGTGCCCACATCACAATGGCAGGCAGTGGGACTAAAGTGATACTGTACGTTGTGCTTTGGCCATTTTTGGAAAACACTGGTCTTCACAGAAGTCTTCCCTTTTTAAAAAGGAAGTTGGGAAGTGATTTTAAAAAGCACTTTGCAAGAGAAATCACTCTTCTAATTGAGCATTCATGTGCCACTTTTATGTCTGCAAAATTCTCAGCATTCATCCACACCTCAGCCCCACATAAGATGGGCAATTTTCCTCTGGCGGGGATACGTGGGGAGTGCAATTTCTGTCTTAGAGCTAAGGACCAAGGGAGATAAGGACCCAGGAGTGGCACCCGAGTCCCCAGCCTCTCTCCTGGTGCACCATCATTACACACTGTGTTCATCTGGAGCTGTTCGGGACAGAGATGTTACACAAATTCAAACAAACCTTGCAAACAGCACTCAGATGTGAGCAGCGGCAAATTTACCCTTTACAATTTCCCCTTGCTAATCCCTAGCCCCTTGACATGTGTCTTCAGGAAGTTCAAATAGAGTTAAAAGGAGAGACTGTATTGACCTTTCTCTATTCAAACCTAGCACTTACCCAGCTGCCTGACACCATTCCTATTAACATTCTGCCCAACACAGAGGAAGGCCCCGTCCTTATCCGTGTAATCAAACTGCAGTAGAGGATCTTGGAAGCCCCAAATCTCCCTATCCTAGACAGTCCTAGAGAGGGACAAGATGCAAATAAAGAAAAGCTCTTTTTGTAGAGAGCTTTCTCCTTGAGCCCTGTGCTTGCCACAGCTGATGGCGTTTATGATAGAGGTACCCAGGGATATGCCTCTGTTTTCTGGCCCCATTCAGCAAATGAGGGAAGTGGGACACGGAGGTGAGTGAGCAGTCAGCCTCTGATTGCAATGAGGTCATTAGCAGGGTCAGGTTCGAGGAAACAGATAAAACAGCAAGGTCACACAAAGGATGAACCCAGAAGGGCCCTCTCCAAAATGAAGTTTAAAATAGCCATGGTCCAAACAGTTCTTGACAGCAAATCACCCCCAAAACCAACCATCCCTGCTAACGACACCCCAGAAGGTGAGGGCGAGGCTCACTGTCACACATTCCTATGTGCATATATATGTCTTCAATATTAGCTTCAAGACCTTTCTGAATCTATTTTTGTAAAACCATGGTGTATTATTTTGGGGGGATGCGTTTTTTTTAACCTTATTAATCCCTTCCCCCTGAAAAATTTATAAGGAGAGTCCTAGATTGAAAGCAAACTTTTGTTTGAACCATTGCTCTTTCGTCTTTCTGCCCTGTAGGGGGTTCAGATCCCTTTTCTAACTGCTTGGGTAAGTTGCATCCCCTCACTGGGCCTACCCTGTCACCCTGAAAGTGGGACTCATACTTGGAGAGAAACATTGCTGTGAGGGTTATATGATTAAGCCCTCAAGTAGTCTATCACAGCATGGGGCACGTGTTAAGTCCTCTGTTGATGCAGGTTTTCCCTCCTTGAAGCAAACATGGCCCTCCCCACTCCCTACCTGTTGGAATTCCATGAGACCTCCTGGCTAAAAAAATCTCTTCAGCCCAGCATGTAGTTGGCTTGATAACATGTGTTCCTAGTTGGCACAGGTGGGGCCAATTGCGAAGATAGAGATGGACGAACACTTCCACAGCCATAGAGAACTAAATCATCAGTTCCCTCCAAGGAGCTCAGAGCACTTAGATGTTCCCTCATTCATCCTCATAGAAAGAGTTCTCACCTAGCTCGGAAATTTACTTGAAAGTACAAACCAGAAAGTGTCTAAATTATCTTGCCAGTTTTTATTGCCAATGGAAGTTTCTTTGAAAAAAAAATGGTGGTCAGCATCTGATGGGCATTCCTTCTCTCTTTTTCTCCGACTGACACTAAAATTTATGGATGGCTGGCATCCTGCATTCTAATACTGTAAGATATGAGGCTTAAAGGCCATAAAACATCACCTGAGGAGTCGTTAGCCATCCATAACATGACAGAGGGAAGCGTATGCTTCTTTAGAGGTTATTTTGAGCCAATGCATCCACTGTTTAAACTGGTCTCCTTCTGTTCTCCAGAACTTCTTAGCAAGAAAGTGCTTCATGATGCCCTGGCCAAAAGGTTCTCCAGCTCAGTCTGCTGGTTGGCAGAGCCAGTACTTCCTCGTCTCTCTCTATCTCTGGGCCTCTCTGTTCCACCCTCAATAACTGACTCCTTACCAAATAAACTAGGAGACAGATGGAATGAGAGACAATCCTCAGACAGCAGATGTTAGCATTGAAGATGTATGTGTATGCTGCTTCTAACACTTTCATTGCTAAAGTCACCGAATTTGAAACAAAACAAAACACCTGCAGGCTTTCGTGAAACCTGAATTCTGCCCCTTCCTGGAGAAAGTTGATTCTCTCCAGGATAATATCAGTGATCATCGTTCTGATTTGACTTTTATTTTACTGCTCTTTTGGGATTTCAGAGCAGATGCTGAAACTTTATTCATGAAACGCTTTCACTGGCCACTCTAATTAACATCAAATATGAATAATTCCAGCCCTGGTCACCATAAAAAATGTGATAATAACATAAAATGAGCTAGGCCATTTGTGCCCAAACCCATACTCTCTTTCTCTCTTCCTACCATATTTTATGGGGCAGGGGTGGAGGGAGTGATATTAATAGCTGTATTGTGCCTTTGACCTTCAGTTCTACCCAGGCCCCCTCATCACGTGACCTGGAAAAAGTCTCAGTGTGTATATGACACTCCTGTGAAATAGGAATGCTACCTGCCACAAACAAGACACCTGTGGAGGGCTTCCTGTTAGACACCTGTAATGACTTGTGACTGGGGAGAGACAGCTTCTGAGCTATGACAGCTGTGTGGAGCAGCTGGCTGTGATGGTTCCCTCTGTTTCCTGATGAGTGGGCGGCATGAGCCATTAGTTTTAACTCAAGGGAGCTGACATTCCTCTACTCTGTCAATTAGGCTCCTTCACAGCAGTCAGGATGGACAGGAATTGGGTGTCGGGACATGAAGTAGAAAGTGGAAAATTTGAATGATTACAGGTGTGGTGCTGCTGCCTCCATAAAACGTGACTTCCTCCCATGTCACAATGAAAACCCAAGTGGCAGAGAAGGTCGCCATGTCTTTGAAGTACTTCCTGATGTCCTTGGTGGCTCGTTTCAAGATGACAGGATCCATGGTCTCTCTGTAATAGATCTCGCCTCGGATTCCATTGTGCACATCTGCCCAGAATGGGGCGATGAAGGCCCTCCCGTCCGTCAGGGGGAAGGACTCTGGCGTGAACTGGCTCACCAGCACGTTGAAGGAAACCACACCATTGTTGTTGACCTACAAAAATCAGAGAGGTTTGCCCAGTGGATCTGAAACATGACAGCTTCAAAGACACAAACCAACACAGGCATCTGCCTAATCAGATGAATGAAAACAACGTTTAGGCTTCTGACTTTGAAGCCCCTATCATCAGCTTCTATTGTTCAAACCAGGAGGTTTGTTTACTTCCCGACAAACTCATTGGTTTCCTTTCACTTTCAATTTGTTGTCAGCCTCATTTCTTATTAATAATCAGCCTCATTTTCATGTTCTGTATCCTGTCTCCATTATCCAATGCTGCAGGGCTATACATGTGCGTGAGTACGTTGTATGTGTATGCACACACACAAACTAGGTCAGAGGGAAAAGTGAGCAATACAGTTCCAGAGGCACAGATGCAACACAGACAGGAAAAAGCAAACAAACATGGAAGCAAAGTTAAATTTTAAAACAGAGGTGCTCAAAGTCAGAGCTCGATTCCTATTTGATGACAAAAGGAGAGCATCAGAGAAAGAGAAATCAAAGACTCTTCCACTGAACTCAGATCTCAGGATGAGCTGTGTCCTGCACCGGGTGAAACATCTAAAAGACTTTTATTGATGTTACAACCTCTTCTGTGTTCAGAACAAGGACAAGGTTGAGACCTACAGATGACCAATTCCATTCCAGCTCTTGTAGTTTGATAGTGTCTTTGCATAAAAATTGAGACATGAATACTTTACATCATGCATGTAAATGACTAGCTTATGGGGACTGTCTCACAATTTCTGAGCAGCTTAGTAAACTTATTAAATGATGAGATCTTACTGCAAATCACAAGCCAATAGGACCTGTGAGTGGCCTATGCCTGTCAGTACAGTTCTGTTTATATATTGATGGATGGTTTTTATGGACTCGGCAGCTAAGATGTCTGTGATGAACATACTTGCAATTCCTGGATATGGAAAAGCTAGAGATCATTTTCCGATTCCTTCCCACTGTCGGTTATGTTCTTAGTAACATATGGGCTTAGACAGTGACCCAGATCCTAAAGGTAATTATCTGTATCTGATTAGAAATACTTTGGCCGAGTTTGAAAGATAGTATTTAGAAGTTTGGAAAGAAAGCCAGAGACCAAGCAATAAAGCCCTTAAAAATCTATTGTCTTCAAGTAACAGAAGAGAAACTCTTTTTTTTTTTTTTTTGCCTAGTTTTCCCATAAAAATCATTTTATGACTTTTTTGGAAGATTCTCAATTTCACAAATTTCAGAATTATTTTGCACTAAGACAAACGTGTATTCTAATCTTTCTTTCTATGAACTTTTTGGTTTTATGGGTCTTGGAGCTGACTTTTAGAATGAAGTCTACTCTTTCTTCACCCAAATTAGGCCAACACATTTCCAAAACGTACAGGCAGCTCTTGCAAACACAGACTAGGGAGGCCCTGCTGGGAAAAGCACATAAAAGGCATTTTAGGATGCCAGAGAGATGTGTTTGCTAGGGAATAATAGGTGTAATTAAAACACACAGACTAGCAGATGAAGCTGGCGATGACTCATATGTGTTTTGATTATATTCTATGGCTTAGATCAGTGACTCTCCAACTTTTATGGGCATCGTAATCACCTGGAGGGCTCCTTAGACCCTCCCCTCCCAAGCAGGGGTGGGACCTGAGACTTGACGACATTGCTAACAAGTGTCCAGGTGACACTGCTTAGGTCCAGGTGGGGGTGGGAATCAGCTCTGGACCGTGGAGGAGGTTGGGGTCCTAGATGTGGAGACAGCCCAAGGTAGGGGCACTACCTTACAGTTTTATTGATTCTACCTGGGCAGGACACGCCCCAGGAAAGGATGCCACATATGTGAATTTACTTATGCCTGCCCAAATCTACAAAGGCCAAAGCCAAAGATGGGCCCATCTGCTCTGAACCTGCCTCTCGATGCGCAAGTCTTAGCAATGATCCAAAGAAATAACCTGTGAACACAGGTGCCCGGGAGAGCTTCAACAACAAACGGCGCTGTTGTTTAATACGGGGTTGACAACGGGCCCTGCTGGCATAGCAGCAGATCCAACGAGGGTAGCCAATTTTGCAAACAACTTTTACATGCTAATAGTTGATTACCCCCTCTACTATCCTCCAGTGCTGCTCCAAATTGGTAGGAAGCCCAAGAACAGCAGATGCCTAAACTTTTCACACCCCCAAAAGGGAAAGAAAAACGATATTGCTCCAATTGTGGTTCATTGTATCTTTTTATCTTGTCGAGTAGCAGAAATAATGTTCATGGCATTGGGGCCTCTGCTTCACTTCTGTGTTTAATCACCCACAAAAGCAATTTATTGCCCTGTACACTCCTCTGCTATGAACGTTAGCCATTAAATATACCTTTGACTTTCTTAATCATAAAACCTATCAGCTCATGAAATCTCAGAAGTTGTCGTTTTGGCTGCCAATAAATCCTCCATTCCCAGAGCCCCGGAAGAGGGTATTTAAAACGCTTTCCTTAATGATAAACAAAATAGGAGAGCCACAGGGCAACAGCTGGGCTGCTTCTCCACTTACATAGACAGTGCGGTAAGGAACGCCAAAGAAGAAAACTGGAATGGCCAACTTAATCTCAGATGAGCTTCCATCGTCTACTTTAGGGGTTTTGGTGTCATTCTGCCAAAATGGATACATGAGCTCTCTGGGCTGAGCTGTCAAGAGAGATGCTGGTTAGATGGGTGGTGACTTCCTCTTCCGTTTGGCCAGCTACTTCCCTCCCGCTTTCTCCTCTCAGTAAGCTTGCCAGCTAAGTGCAGGTGTGACTCTGCTTGCGCTCATCCTAACCTTAAACCACACACAGTGCCTTATCTTCTGCTCCTGGGACAGAGGAGGGTGGGACTGATACATTTCTCCTGAGGAGATAGCCCCATCACTCATTCTTCTTTGCATTTTTAAAGGATCCGCGATGACAACTGGAAGTTTGTGAGATCACCACTATCTAGGGGCTGTCAGAGGACCGAGAAGCAATCTTCAGGTCTGGCCTGCCTTGGGAAGACTTGACTCTTACTTAGATGGGCAAGCTGGCAAGCAGGTATCACTGCTAGGGCACTCCCTGCTAGCTTAAGGAGACTGCTGTGGTATCTTTTCTTGAAAGCGGTTCCCTCCCTCCCTCTGGCTACACAGTAGGAGAAGATACCATATCCCAGAAGGAAATAAACAATGACTGGAACCAGTACAGAGTGGAAGGGAGAGAATTTGTAGTAGCTCTCCAGTGACCTTGATTGATGAAGGGCCTGCCAGGCAAAAGGTTCTCTGTGCAGCTCCTGTTTGCAAGAGATGGACATGAGCTGCTGCTGGTGGTGCACGTGAAGGAAGGCCTTGGGAGATGTGCAGGCCTCTGCCTCTTCCTCCCAAAGGAGAGTGTCATCCCCCAAATACAAACTCCCCACTTGACAGGGCCACCCCCTCCGTGGGCAAGCCAGCCTGTTTCTCTGAATGTTTCAATTCAAACTCATGCAAGGTGTGTCCCAGTTTGGCAAGAAAAATGAGACCATTTCCCTCAGGGTCTGTGCCACAGAGGATCAAGTCCAGTGGCATCTTTAGAGCAATCTACATTTCAAGGTGTCACTTTCCCCTGCATCTATCCTTTCTTCTCTTGAATGAAAACAGAACACTGGAACATCATCCCTTTTTCCTTTTTTTTAACAGTTGTTTGTTGGCTTTCATGGATTCTTGAAGCACCTGCTTATCGCCACTCAGAGGTTGATGCCTCATTCTCTTGTCGGGTCCTGAGCTTGGGAAAGTCCCCACTCAGCACTGATGGAGCCGATAGGTCAGCAAGCAGCTGGACAAGGACAGTCCTCTCCTTTGGGAGCTTTTTAGTGAGCAAACAACAGCTCATGTGAAAGAGCAGGCAGAGTGGCCGAAAACCACTCAGCAGCACCAGGCAGAGCGCCAGATCTCTAGCTCTCCCTCAGGGAATGAGCGATCTGCCTGGGCAGAGAGGGCTGATCTCTTAGCCAGGGCTCACAGCACAGGAGAGCATGGAAAGCTGGTTGGGTCATCCTCCAACCTCAAGAGTTTTTGGGAAGCCAACCAAATCTTGATCTTTATAAGGTGTTTTCACTGGTTTTAATTCTGGGAGCACTCAGCCAATGCTACATCAGCAAGGGGAAGAAGAGTCTTGTAGAAGGGTCCCCATACATACACAGTAGCAAATTCCAAATTCCTAGAAGGTCTGGATTTTTAGAAAAATCTCTTTATAGTGTACACCATCGTATTATGCACAAGTACTTAACACATGTGAAAGGTGATATACCTTCTCAAATTAATTGCCACAAATCAAACCATGCCACAGACTTGTCTTCCAGGGGAGCTTTTTAGAAATCATGAATAAGAGTTGGAATTCACACTGAACTGCAATCATTTTTCACAGAAAGGTTAATTGGTATTTGGGGCAGCATTGGCCAATCTGTCTGGGGAATGTGGAAGCCCAATAAGCTCTCATGAAGGAGACAGAAGACCACGGCCAGGGGAACTCTTCCTAGATTCTCTGTTTGCTCCAAGAGTGAGGCAGGCTTGCAAGATTCCTCTCTTCATGAGTGAGTCTAACTGGTTTGATGGGAAAATTTTAGAAAGAAGGCAAATAATACTATAAAAGCTCATAAGTCCTTCTTGTATGAAAAAAAGATGCTGAATAGGAACAGGCTTTAACTATAATAATTTCCATCTCAGAAGATATTATTTTAAATATATAACTGAAAAGATCATTTCTCAACTATTTTTAGTATCAGAGAAACTAAAAGAAAGATAATTCCTACTCATGCTTGCTCTAAGTTGGGACATTTACAATGTCCCAGGGTTTTTTTAATCAAATAAAATGTATGTTCTTGGGTCAAGGTTCCTAACCTTGGTTGGGAACCTCCAACCTACTCCACCTAGGTTGGAGTAAGGGGGTGTCTTTCACCATTATGCGAGTCCACACTAGGGTTTACAAACCACAACTTTAAATTTGCCTAGTTGTGGGAAAAAATGTAGAGCTGCCTTTGATATTATAGATCTATTCGTTTTAGACTTGGAGCCAAATTCCCACAAACTATCAAGACCAAATAGCAAATAAGGAGAGATACTTTGGAATTTCAGCCATTAAATCTTACGGTTTAGGTTCACTGCCCCACCTTCCTTGACTAAACTCCCAAAACAGCAAAGTTAGAGTGTATGTGGTTTCTTGCCTCCCCAGGGCAATGCTACAGAGAGAAGAGGAGGGGTCACGGAAGGCCTTATTACCTTATTTTGCTGAGATTTTCAGTCACTGCCATTGTTATAACCAATTTTGGCTACAAGAGTTACATCCTTTAAAGTTTACCCAACAAGTTAAATACCTTAATGGGAATCAGCAACTAAGCATGGATTGCACACATACCTACTTTATGCACTTTCCATTTGCATTATTTTAAAGATCTTCTTATGTCTACACAAACTGTGTTCAAAGTTAAGAAAAAGTAAGGATGTAAGCGAACATAATTCAAAGTTAATACATTTTGCCCTTGACAGCAGAATTTAATTTACATTTTCCTTGTTGTATCTGTAGACACATGTACACCTGCCCTTACAATTACAGTTCCAACAAAGGTGTTTCTTTATAAATTCAAGAGCATGCTAATCAAGAGCTTTATGGAATTCTGTAGTACTCACCTTGGTGCCGTACAAGTGTGAAGATGAAAGAGACCCAAATTCTAAGTAATGATGAATAATTCATCCTGGAATTTAAAAAAGAAAAAGAAAAAAAAATTCAGCTTGCCACAGTAAATAGAACACCAGGTGTGTTTGATAGCAAATCCCAAGATACAACACAACCATCATAGAACAAATTCACACAACATCAACAGCTGTGTGCCTGGTTGGAATTCCTGGAGAGTTGGCGAGTCCTCCAAAGTTCAACACTGACAGTGAGTTAGACCCCCAGAAGAAGCCAGAAGAGAAGCAGAACATCACACAAATTGTTAGGTAATTATATAGAATCAATGAGTAAAGGGAAGAGATCTACTTTGCATTTAATAAGACACTGGAGAACGGCATCGCTTCAAAGAAGCAGGGCCCAGGCCACATATTTAGACGAGAAGCAGTGTCCTCTATGAGGTTGGACTCTTCTGATTTCCAGCAGAATTCAACACAAGCTGGTTAAAACCCAGTGTACACCTATGTTTGCTATCAAACAACCAGATTCATAGAGAGCTCCAAACCTCTGTCCAACGACTTTCCACAGGAAAGAGAATGATAGATACATTAGTCATAAAAAAGGAACCACACCAGGGTTGCTCCATGGAATTACAAGGAAAATAGAATCCAGTGCACAAGTGACTATTCAGTTCTAAGTAAAATTGCACTTGCTTTCCTGTTAGTTCACAATTGGTACAGCTAGTAGCTTTACCCTCTGCAAGGAGCTTGAATAGTCTGCAGCACTCGGCAAAGCTGAGACGCAAATACACAGGCGAGCTCCGATTCAGATGTCTCCACCCTGACAGTGTTCTTAAAAATAAAAACCCTCCTCTTATCATCTCAAGTTATCACGATGCTTCAGCCCAATGTTCACAGCAAAAGCAATGAATTCGTCCTGTGAGTGTTTGATTGCGAATCCTCAGTTGTCAAGTATCCGCATTGAAATTTCAAGCACATATTAAATATTAGGCAGCCTTGCTGGAAACGGTACAAAGCTTTTAGCAGAGATCACACACAGCCCTTAGGGAAACAGTTCAGACAGCAGTAAGGAGGATGCATTGAGATATTTGTGTTTATGAAAAATGTCACTAACCTGTTCTGGAGAGACTGGAGGAATTGAGTCAGAAATATTAAGTCTGATCTTGGTAAACCAGGAAAATTAGGCAAAACAAGAATTCATGTCAGTTCTCAACTTGCTGCCAATTATTTCTGATTCCTGAAATGATGTCTGAATCCCGTACTCTTGAAACCAAAATTCAGTTCGTCCTGCACTACAGTCAGCTAAGTGTTGAGTTGCAATCAAGTTTTCTTCCCCCTATTGATTAAGGAAAAGTGAATCTAAAGATCAGTTTCAGGAGTGCGTAGAGAGGTTCTTTTCCTGAAAAACTAGACCTTCCCCATGCCTCCACCCCTTGCTTTAAAAAAAAAAAGGTAGATTCAGATGGAAATGTCAGGTACTTGGAGCTGAAGCTTGGGTCCTTTCTGATCAGAATCACTTTGCACTGAAAAACACAAAAGAACTCCCCCTCCCCTTCTTTTGTACCCATAGAAGGCAACTGTCTAACATTACAGAATTAGCATCCACCGGCATGGGACTAAAACCTCAAACAATGTCGCTCCCTCCAACACTTACATGGAGTTGGGTTTTCGACTAATGCCTTTTCTTCATTGTCTCTGGCTTTCAAGAGTTGCCACTGCCCTCCTCCCATATACGCACGTACAGGTTAAGCGTGGACTATTTAAAGATTCCTTCTTGAACTTTTCCCAGTTTTATTCCTTCTCTTCTCACTCTGATACTCACCAGCACTTTTCAGACAAAGTCGAAGACTGCAGCCAGCATCAGGCCTAATTCTTCTCCAGGGAAATACCCCAAGAGGACCCTGCAACTGTCACTGAGGACCCCTTGGAGGGTATTTGCAGGGCAGGTGGAGACAGACTCTTCCCTCTGGAAACTGGCAAGAGGCAGTACGGTTCATGCTCCCCAGCTCCCCGTGACTGTGGTGAAGGTACAAACTAAACCCACTACCTTCAATGCATTTAAAATGTAATTTACCAAGAATGTAACTGAATGTACCAGAGAAACTTTTCTGCAAATCAGTGGGAATTTAAAAACTGCTCCAAATGTTTCTCTGGCCACACACTTAAATGCTGACTGTACTAAGATATGCACGCGCACGCACACGCACACACACCACACACTCCTCTGAGCTGAGCAAGTAATCTTAAAATAGATATTTGTATTCAGGGAAACTACATTTTTAGCAGCAATTATCTGATGTTTTTGCAGAAACTTGAGAGAATTTATTATCATTTGTACCTGAAGTGCTTTCTCCCCTCCCCCACATTCATTTAATTTCTTCTGAAAGGATGACAGAAAGTCTAGTCTCTTGGTTGGCTCTTTATGATGCGTCTCAGGTCAGGGGCACCCCTAGGGATGCCTTCACCTTGCCCAGTCTTTGGGAAGGTTTGAGTCCAGGAGTCAAACCCTGGGTTTGAAGCCATAGAGCCAGCTCTGGTTAAAATAGCATGCATGGTGTCCTGGCTACCTGGGTCTGCTCTTTCACACACTCAAGGGTGTGCACACCTGAACCCATAGGGGTCACAGCCAGGCTCATCCTTCATGAGGTAAGTCTGTGCCCAGGCTCCATGGCCACCTGGGCATGCACAGAGGCACAAGAGGGAGAAGCTGGTTGCAGTCTGGTTGGGACATGTGGATCTTGCTTGCTCTGGGTGTAGCCTGTACGGTCACAGATGGACAACGGACAAAAGTCTCTTTTCAGGCCATGTGGGCAGGAGGACTTACTCTGTTGAAAGCGTGAGGTGAACAAAGATTCCTGACAAGGTTTAGATGTGGATGGCGGGGCAGGAGGTGCTTCCCAGGCCAGAGGAAGGACCACTCACACAAAGGAAAGCCCAAACTAGGCTACCTGAAGGCACGACACTGCTTTGTGCAGGGTTTCTCTTCTAAGCTTCATTTACCTTCTCTGTGGAGAAGACGATGACACTTGAGTTGGTGTGAAATGATGCTGTCACAAACACTGCTATGTGTTGTTCAGATGCCCCTTCAAGACAGATTTGAGAAATGTGCATGGCCCGGTGATAGCAATAGAGTCAGGGGGCTGCTCCCCCTGAGCTATCCCCCAGGCAGGACTGGCAAGATGGTGGTATAATGACCCAGCACCTGCCCCCAACAGCAGGAGTCCCCTGGTGGGAAAGTCTGAAAGCCCCTGTAGAGTGATGAAAATAGCTGGCTTGTGCTAAAAGCAGGGCCTGGAAGGAAAAGCTACGACATAGCCATGTATACTCCATATGCATTTCTATGAAATTATAGATTGCATAGTCAGTCTATATATTAGACCTGTCTGGGTAGATCCTACCAAAGATTTTGATTTTCCAAGTCTCCCCCAAACTTCTGAGCCTTCAGGCATATCCCATTCCGCTCCATTAAAAGCTAAAGTTTCTGCCAGCTCAGGAAGACAATAGAGAGGATTTTCCCCCACAAGGCAACAGTTGTGCCCCTCAGGAGGTGCTCCCATTTCCTCTCCGGCCTGCTGGGCTCCCAGTCAGGGTCAAGTTGCAGCATACCTCAGGTGGAGATGTGGTGGGCCTGACAAGGGAGGAAAGGCACTGGCACAGGAGCTGTGGGATTTAGTTAACACAGGAGGGCAGGGACTAGCGGAGCGGAGACCCAGGTACTGGACACTGAAGGAGCTCTGTGCAGAAGGCAGGGCTGTAACACAGACAAGGCGTTTACTGCCTTGGGACATTTGCTTAAGTTACCAGCTTTCTCTGTGGGTATGGAACCCCGAGGGACTGGCACAAAAATCTCCAAGAAGCCTGGAAAGAGTGATGGCTCATATGCAGCCATGGCAGGAGAAGATATTGAAAAGCTCCAGCAAGAGAGCAAGCTGGCATCCACCAATTCTTTAAACCCAGAGCCCACAGATGATCACAGTTCAAGACAGACCCATCATCCACCAAAGTCAGTAGGAATGAGTTAGTAAGGAAAGCACTAGCATCACCTCAAAGTTTAGGGTGAATCACCCCTGCAGGCCATGGCAGGAGCGCTAAAGAGGATGGACCCCTAGCAAGAGCAAGAGAGGCCAGGTGACAGCACTTTCCTGCTTGAAGCTGGGAAAGGAGTGGGGGTTGGCAGTATCGTAATTTTCATGAGGTTCTGGAAGACCAGACTTGCAGCCAAGGGGGCTTGATCTGTTGAAAGCCATGAAAATGGTTAACAAAACTCGTTATCCCAGGGGCAATGCACTTGGACAGACAGCAAGTGAATTGTTTACTATACAAGTACACAAGCAATAATGGTCCAATCAAGACTGAGATTTGTTGCCCCAGTAAAAAGTCATGATCCAATTCCAGTTTTTGAATTGAGTTTCTTTTCAAATCTGGAGTCCATAGACTGAAATGGCAGCTGGTCTCCAAAGGGAAGGACCCTGCACCACTGTGACAAAGGATGTGTGGGAATGATTCTACCAGGATGGCAGACTCTATCGTGTCTCCATGTAAATGATCAGGATAGATCCTAGAGAAAGGCTGTGAAATTGTGAGTTCAACCAAGAAGTGACTTCAATTGTGGCTGGTGAGCTAATGTGGTATCTCTTCTAGAGCCAGTTACCATGGCTTTGTGTGCGCAACATGCGGCTATTCATTTAGCAAATGCATTTTCATTCCCATCTGAATCAGGAAAAAGGACAAGAGTTCACATCAGATGGAACAGATGGCAGCTTACATTTACAGTTTTATCCAGTGCTGCGACAAGTCTCTCCGTCTTTCATAATATAATGTTTAGAGATCTGGCCAGTTAGGTCTTATGTATCACCTTGATACACGACATTGAATGACAGCAACAGCAGAACATGCTGACAGGTGGTGGTCTGCCTGCATGGGGAAGACAGATGTGGGAGATAAATCCTACAAAGGTGGAAGGCTGCTACTTCTGTAACCTTTGTAGGAATCTAGTGGTCAGAAACATGCTGGACTAGCTCCTCAAAAGTAAAAGACAAATTCCTGAATCTCACAGTCACCC